ACCCCCCCCCCCCCTCCTTGCTTCCCGCGTCTCGAGAACGCCTCGGGGTGGACATTCCGGGCGGCGATCGACCGCCTCGCCTTGGCACTCTTCTTCTTCCGTTATATATACCTGCTTCCTCGTCTTCGCCGCAGTAAGCGTCCGCGCTGTTTCCGCGAGAAAAGAGTGAGAGAGCGGATCGCGGGAAAAGAGGGAGAAGCGGCCCGGGAATTCGGGTCGCGAAGACCGACGATCCGCTCTCCGCCGGAAAAAAAAAAAGGAAGCTCGCGATGTGGAACCTGAGCCCCGTCTCTCGTTCTCGCTGTGCCAGAAATGACGTTGGTCGCGCTCCTGTTCCGCCAACGCATCACCATTCTTTTCTTCCATTCTCTCCTTATTTTTTTTTGCCGGCGCAACGCCAGTTCTGTGCTTTGAGCGTCATGTTCCGGGAGTTCATACTCCAGCGGTATAGCAGAAGTTCGACCTTCTCTTCTGTCAGTCGCGAACGAAAGCTGAGGAAACCGGGGTTTTGGTGCTCTGACATTATTTCGAGGGAATAGGGTGAAAGATTTTTTTTCCCCTACGCGCGCATGCGGTGTGTGAATAGGAGAGTGGAATGTCTTCTTTCAGATGCCCTGAAGGTGGTACGTGACGAGCAGATACAGATGACTATGCAGTGCAAAGACGCTTCAGGTCGTTGAGTTGCATCTGTAACTGTACTTTCTTGATCAGCCGAACGAAGTATGCACAAATGAGGTGCACGAACTAGTGAAAGACTGCGTAGACAAGTAATCGTTGACGACTTTCTGTGTTCAAGACGGATGACTCTTTCACTTAACTGCGAAATGGATTTGGGCTTGGAAAAGACGAATTAGGGAAATCTTGGAAAGCTACAGAGGTGAATAGTGGCGTGCTTAGGCGTGCATTGTAATGCGTCGAAAGTATAACTCAGCCAATTATCTGCGCGGGATCAGAAGAGCAATGGCTGCCGCTGCTGAGAACGATGGTGTGTAGACGTTGCGTGCTTGCTTGCCCTTGATCGCATGGCGCTAACCCACTACGGAGGACTGGCCAAGAAAGTGCGGTGGTTATCCTGAGCAGCCACCTTCATCTACGACGACGAAGAAGAAACGACGTGTGTCGTTCCATCCGCGTCGGGGGCCAGCGGCTCGGCTCCGGAGTCACCATGTACGCCGCCAGCGGTAGCAGCAAGCGCTTCGTGACGGGGTTTCCGTACATCGCCAACTGGACACTGGTCGAGTTCCGACGCGAACCGCCGGCGGACCGCGTCTGTTCGCTGTGCGGCGTACTGGCCGGCGAGACCTTGCGGGCGCCGTGCAAGCACGTGTTCTGCCGCCGCTGCTTCCAGGGCCTGGCGACTGGCGAGCTCGTGGTGTGCTGCCCCGTTGACGGCACAGATTTCGGCACCCAGCAGGTGCGCCTGGACCGCACGGCACCCGACGTGTTGCGTCACTACCCGGTGGGCTGCAAGAACAAGGGTTGCCTGCACGTCCCGACGCTAGCCAGCTACGAAAAGCACATAGCGCTGTGCGAGCACCAGCTCGTCCTGTGCGAGCTGTGCTCGCGGCGCCTGCAGGTGTCGCAGGTCCTGTCGCACGTGCGCACAGAGTGTCGCAAGGTGGCCTCCAAGGGCGTGCACGATGCGTCGAGAAACCCCGCAGCGCTGGACACGGTGGGAGCCGTGGGCGGAGACGCCCGCGTCGACACCCCGCACGCCGACCGGTGCGAGATGGTCAGCCAGGAGCTCAAGTCGCTGCGCATGACCATCCACGAGGAACTGCTTTCGTTCCGAACCGCGCTGCAGGAGGCCAGGGCCTCCCTGGCCGAAGGTCAGCTCGAGTGGAGGAAGCACTTGGCGGACGATGAGACCGCGGCGCAGCACCTCATGATGGAGTCCGTGGGCGACACGCTGAGCCGCGAGCTGGGCGCCGTGGAAGAGGACAGTCCGCCGTCGTCCTGCTACGTCTGGAAGGTCGTCGACTTCGCTCGCATGCGCCAGGATGCCCTGGAAGGGCGCACGACGTCAGTTCAGCAGCGACGCCTTCTATTGCGGAGGCGCGGGCTACCGCGTGTACCTCCAGGGCAGCCTGGGCAACTCGGCGGAGATGGGCAAGCCGTGCCTCGGGCTGTACTTTCGTCCTTACCGCGGGATCGTTCGACACCTCGCTGAGCTGGCCGTACGTGCAGAAGACCTCGTTCGTTCTCATCTCTAACGTGTCCGAAGGCACGTACAATATCCAGGGAGACATTCGTCCGGAGTCCGAGGGTGAGGAGTGGGGTCACTGCTTTCGCAAGCCCCGACCGGGCGAGGACAACGAAGGATTCGGCTTCTCGCAGTTCATCACGCTCGAAGATTTGGCCAACCCGGAGTACGGGTACATCAAGGACAACGCCTTCACCATCCACTTCCTGACGCAGCTCAGGGTCTAGCATCGGCGGTGACGCGGTCAGCGACGACAACTGGAAGCGTAGCGCACCGGGCGCGAAATAAAAATTGATGCCTCCTGTGTTTTAAGCTGTGGTTGCTTATTCGCAGATGTTGATAATATAATGTAGGATCGTGTGTGGATAACTTTTTTTTTTCTTCGATAAGGAAATAATATCCTCTGAGGCTGGTATGTTGTCCTAACTTCATTCCTGTCTCTTGGAAATGAGCGCATTTCATTGAACAAGATAGTCTCGGCAATGAATATGTTTTACTGGATTCTCTTGTTGCCTGTTTTTTTTTTTTTTTTTTTACGTACGGTAGATTCAGCCACCCTTTATGCATGTTGGTGGTATGTTCGTGTGCGCGTAAATATATGCATAAAACACAAGGGTGGGCGGGGTTAAAAACACAAGGGTGGGCGGGACAAGGGTGGGCGCGCCCACCCAACACCCCTGGCTACGTTAATGCTGTTGGGCCTGGGAGAGACTGCAGGTTACCGTGGGTGTACTTGCGGGCTATATCTGCGGCATAATTACGGCGAGTACCCAGTAAATGCGCAAATATGTGCCGTTTGGGCGGGTGTTTCAAATGGCGAAATGTTCTTCCACTAAGCAGCCAGACGCTTATTGCGTGTTCGACCGTGGCAGACCAGGAGGGCTCGCGCTCGCATTTCGAGTTATGTCTTCACCCGCGGAAAGAAACGCTGAAAAGGGCGAGCGACGTCGCGACCGGTGCAGTGGCCCCACTCCGAGGAGTCTCGTTCGTTGTTGCGTAGTTGCGGGCAAACGCGGATTGCGAAAGCTGTTTACACACCGTGTGGAACTGCCAGGAATGGCGCGGCGGAAGCCTCGCCGCATGATCGGCCTAGCATATGAGATCCACGAAAACACACAGCAATGCACTTGTCCGGTGTACGGGGGGCGACGATCCCACACCGGGGCTCAAGTTGTTTTCCTTTCCCATTTCGACGGTTTCGCATCGGCGCACGGAGCTTGGCGCCTTTCAGACGAATCTCGCGAATGCTCCGCTCCGTCTGCGCGTTCTTTGTTATCGTTTCGTTGTCTTGTATGGCGTGGTTCCGAGGCTGGACGGTGGTGGTGGTAGTGGTTAGAAGATGAGAAAAGGCACCTAATTTCTGCAACCCGGTCGGGAGCACGGCGCAGTGCCTCGCGCACAAGGCACTACTCCGTTAACTGCCGCGGTAACTGGCGATGGAAACGGCCGCGCGAGGGCGCTCTCTCCCTCTGCTGTGTAAATTTACTGCTGTGTTGTGGTAAAGCATCTGTCTAGTCGCGGGCAACTGTCCGACGCCGTCTAGCTGCTAGGAGTCGGCGCGCGTTACGAAAACAGTATGGCGCAAGGTGTCGTTTTGGGACGACGTGCCAGAGGCTTCTATTTTTGTTTACTTATCTTCTTTATTCGTTCATTGCAGCTTGCTCGAGATGACTGCCTTCGCTGCGGCCCTTCCCTCGCCGTGCGCGACTCGAGCAAGCCTCGTCACTGATGAGGCCGGTCGTGCCTCGTTACGCGACGTACACATAGAATTGGTGCGCCGTGACGTTCCGCTGAACGGCCGTGTGCACCGGTTTCTCGCTCGCTGGGCACATTGTTCGTGACGTACTCGACGAGGAGAACGCGAGGCGGCTTTATGCGACGAGGGCACTTGGTTCGTGGACCTTGTGGTTTGGAAGAGAATCGCGATGCAGCCTTTGTAGATGCGGATGCATGTGTTGGCACGGGTCTGTCGTGCATCGCAGACAACGGTCGACTCTGTCTGTCCCGAACGAAGGCGCGCACTCGTTTAATTAGGCGGCTGCGAGCAACCAGGCAAAGCACATGCAGATCTGCAGTTGCCTGGTTGCCAGGTTGTTTCGAAGAGACACTCGACCTTTGTCTGTGTACGCGTAAAATGTGATCCACGGAGCCTTTTCGCATTTAGATATCCGTCTTCTTAAATTGTGAACGGCAATCTGCATGCCTAAACTCTGCACTAATTAAACCTTCTGGGTTGATGGTGTGTAAGCATTTGCATCACATGTAAATGCACAGAAATTTGCTAAACATGAAGACCCATCGTTACAGTTTCTGCACGCCGTGATTAATGATTTGATCCCCCGAACGATATGCCCTTCAGGTCGATTCTTGATTGTTTCAATTTTTCCTTTTTTTTTCTTGCCTTTGGACAGTGGATTTATGGAGCGAACTTGATTTGTCTCTGTGCAGACTCACTGCTGAGAAATTAAAAAAAAGAAGCTTGTAGTTATGTGTTAGTTGAATTGTATATTTTCATTGTGTTGAACATTTGTACTTGTGCCTACTGCATCTCAGAAACTGCCAGCAGTATTTGAAAATAAAAAAAAAGGGACAGGGCGCAAACACTGCAGCCTGAACTTTCCTCAGCAATGACAACCTCTTTCAATTCATGTGTCGGAAGAGCTACACAACTGCATATGTAGAACAACATTTCTGTACGCATGCTACAGTTGCACTGTGTGTTGCATGTTACTTGTTTCATTTGTCACTCCAATGTCGTTAACACATTCTCTCTCGTTTTTTCTTTGCTGTTTTGCAGCTCCAGATCTGATTGGGAAATTTCGTGGCAACCAGACACACAGCGACCACTTCCGTCTTCTAGAGCAGGACGGCCACAACCTTCTTGTTGGGGCTAGGTGAGCTCTATTTTTAATCATCATCATCATAATCATCTAGTTGCAATGAATTCATATATTTAGGACAAAACAGAGCTCACTGCTCTTTTAAAAGCTACACACATCATTATCTAAAATGTACTTTAAACAAAATTGGTTGCTTTGTAGACACTGCTGATAGTGTTTCATGCATGTGCATTTAAACCTAGATAATTGAAACATATTCTGCTTTCTTCATTACTTGATTGAGATAGCTATGTTTGCATTCCTGGCTATTCCTGCTCTTTTGTTACTCATATGCAGAATGTATTATATTCACGAAAATCAGGAAACCTGGAAATGTTTCTCGCTATTATTGCTTAATTTCTTCTCTTGCATACATGAAGGACTGTATAATACCAAGTCTCCTTGAAACTTTTTTGCTCAGACGTCTCCTATATCTGCATGATTGTAACTTTTCATTTCTAGGAATGTTGTCTACAACATCAGCCTCACATCGCTGGAGTTACAAAAGGTGAAGTCCCACATTCTTGCAAATTCTGAAAGGCTTTTCACTAGTATGTTGAATGATCGCGGCAAGCATTGCTGGAAAGAATTGAAATTATTGTAGTTATAGCAGCCAAGCAATCTGATTATTAGCATCTCATGATTAATAATTGTATCAGGAAAGGTCTAGATATACAACCATTTAAAAGTCATTAATAGAGCGACACACCTGGGTAAGCAAAAAACAGCTGAAGGAACAACTTCAGTAATACGCATGAAGCTGGCTTCATCAGACATGTTCCTGAATGAAGCTGACTGTAGTTCCTAAAAAAAGATAGTTCCTCAGAAAGAAATAAAAAACAAGAAGATCATCTTTGTATGCAATATGTCAAAGTACTGTTGTTGAGTTTTGATCCTTGAACTACAAAGATATAAGCCTCGAGTCTAAAGATGAGCAGGCTTATTCTTAAGCTCCCTATGAATTGAAAGACTTGCTTCACCTTGCAGAAGTTGGAGTGGTTCTCTGAAAGTAAAGATATCGACATGTGCAAGCTAAAAGGAAAAAGCGAGGTAAGTAATACAACCACAATTGCTCTTTACCGCTTGACCTTACTGTAGCCAACCAAAAATGTTTCTAAAATGGTTAACAACTTGCAACATTTTTCATTTTTCAGGAGGCGTGCCAGAACTACATCAGAGTGCTGGCGAGAAAATCTGAAACAGTCATTTTTGTCTGCGGCACCAATGCCTACAAGCCGCGCTGCAGGGACTATGTGATATCTCCGGTGAGGAATGTTTCGCTAAATTGCATGGCTTTCCTTGAAACAAAAGTGTGTTCGATTTTGTTCTGACAGTTATATTATGCTTTTTGTAGATATACTATAAGCCTTAGTAAATGTGGTTTGGTAAATTTATAGCTACACTTGTAGTTTTGCTCAAACTCCTGCTTTATGTCTGTTATGAAAACTTACCTTTCTGCGCAACTCCTTTGCTATGACTCGTTGAGCTTCCAATCATCTGTGCGAATCAGCCTCAGGTGCATGCTAACTTCTTGTGGAGAACAGACGCTTCAATAAGCTATCTGCACACATCATCTATTGAAGGACTAATGCGCACGATCAAACTACTCCTTTGAACTAACAAGTCATCCGTGTTAGTAGCATTATTGCCTGGTGGGCCTAAACAAAGCATTGATGAAAACAAGGCAGTCATAGACTGTCTATGACTGTCATAAATAGTCAAAGAGCCAGTTTTTGCACAGGTATAACACATTTCTATTATGCGTGTTGCTATTAGTCACCTGATACACTGTCTATGACTATCATAAAGAGTCAAAGAGCCAGCTTTTGCACAGGTATAACACATTTCTATTATGCCTGTCGCTATTAGTCACCTGATCGAAGCTCTGGCTTCAAATCTACTGAACACAATTGCTGTGTTGGTGGCAGAGTGTGGCTGCTGTCTAGTTGCTGTACCATATTATTAATGGCTCCTGACTTCTATTTAGTACTAGTGTGTGGGAAAAACAAAAGCTTATGCAGCTGGTTCATGGGCACAACATTTGTACATTGGCTGACCACGAGAAAAGTGATTGATGGCACCCGCCCCTTGCCTATCTTTACAGGATGGGGAGTACTCAGTGAAGGAACAGGTGCCGGGAGAGGGCCTCTGCCCCTTTGATCCCAAGAACAACAGCACAGCCATTTTTGCTGGTGAGGATTGCCTGCCTTACCTCCGACTGATGTGGAGAAAAGTGATTGTTCCTGTCTACGGACGTAATTACCGCCCTGTCCTTCAAACGGTTGTCAGAACTATGTGATGGATTATTGCGAAGTTTGCTCCAAGCAGTTATTAACCCTCGAAGTGTGCTACAGTTGTATGCAGCAACACTCAATCGTATGCACTGTACAGATAGCTTTAGTACCTACTGCAGTGAACATAATGCACAGAGCAGTAGTGCTCAACAACCTTATTTACAGTAATATTTCTCAGCAAACACAAGTATAGACAAAGAGAGACTAATTATTGTATGCCATGTTTCACATGCAAATCATCCATCAAATGAAATTTGCATTTTGCCGAGTGGCTCTTTCATTTTTCACATTCAAGTTCTCTATCTTCATTGCTAGAATGCACACATAAACTACCTTAATGATAAAGCTGCTGTACAATCATCACAGTTTCAGTACCACTATCTTTTTTACTTTGTTGGCTTTTTTCTTCCTGCTTTCTTTGCAAAGTTTCATCTGGATGTATGCAAGCTCAATTGCAACTGGAAGGCTTGAGGTTCATGACCCCCAAAGAAACAATGGTTTCAGGGTTGACTTCCCACTGCAGCCATCTCCTTTTGTTTCGTAGTCTGAACAAGCGACAGGCCTCTGTAAGGAAAGGTCACGGTCAGCTGCTTTCCGAGTGAGCCCCTTGGCTGTCTTCTGCTGTGCCGCTGTACCCGCTACCAGCGTTTCATGACCCGCAGGCACCGTGACCATTGCAGGCTTCATCTACATTTGATCTGGCGGCTCGATTCCTGCTCTTTCGTTTGTCACGACTATGCTGCTAGGTTCATAGCGGGAAGGTCGCAGTGCATTTCTGACTCAGTTGAAATGCCAGAAACTATCCACAGGTCGTAGCGGGCATGTGTGGAAAATTGAAAGAGTTTCAAAGTGCTCGTGATCGAACACTTTATGCACAGCTGGTCAAACTATCAATCGTGCTGTCAAAGATGTGCCAGGCATTTGAAGCACCTTCGAGTTTGCTTAGATAAGCCTTTTCTGCGAAAAAGGAAAGGAGGCGCGAGGGGAATAATAAGACTGTAAGTCATTGCATTTAGAAAGATGAATGTCGATATTTTTTTTAGCTGCTGGAGCAACTTGAAGTAGCATTGACGGTATAAATGTACACATTCCTTAAAGGGGCAGTATGAATATGCGTCGATTAGCTATGTCATATGCTTTCAATCATTCGTTGCCTCTCTTCATATGACATTGGCATTGGACTTGATTACCTTGGTGGCATTCACAATTGTAGGCTAGTTCCATTTATTATGTTTAGTTTTAATAATAAGCTTTTAAAAGAGCTACAGTCAAGCAAATGAAGAAGAAAAGAAAAAAAAATCATTCCTACAAAAACTCTCTTTATTGCTACTATTGTTGCTGCAGAAACAGTAAATGTAACTTTCTTCATGCATTTCTGTGCTTTTTTTCCATAACTTTGTGTTGGCCCTATGGTGGTCTTGCGTAAGCCATTGTGCTAAATGTGTCTCACAAGTGTCTGAGCTGAGTGGATCTTTGTTATATTCTATTTGTAAACATGCTGCCTGGGACATTCAGGTCCCTTGTCAAGGAGGACAGGTAAATACAGCTGTTGTGGCTCTTCAGTATGGCATGATACCATCATGTGCATGAATACCACATATTTAGTACAACACTACATTATAAGCATTGAAGTGAGCGACTGCTATGATGTTTGGTGTCCCGTTATTATATCAAACGTGGTATGCATCTGTGTAGTCGTGCCTGCTTATATGCTGTGCCTCATCGTGACGTGGCAGCATGACTGTATACTTGCACATTCGTACAGGTTGACCTGTGGTGATGAAGGTGCACCAATTTTGAATATTTATTGCATCGTTACATACAAAATGAAATGCCATGCACATCTGCATGAAAAATATATTTAAGGTTACGACCTTTTGCATAATACCCATTTTTTTGCCTCCTTCAAGACGGTGACCTGTACGTGGCCACTGTTGGCCAGCTTTCGGGGGCAGACCCGCTCATCTACAGAAAACCACTCAGGACTGAACCCTTTGACCTAAAGCACCTGAATGGTGAGTATCATGTTTATTTCAGTATAAGCTCTATTTTTCTAAAGCTTTATTAGTGCTTCTTAATTGAGATGCTGACTGTAGGTAACTGTAAGCAGAGGTAAGGGGAGGTGCACTCATTTCACATGCAATTTGCTTTTCACCTTTACTTGACCTGGTTTTATTTTACCTGACTTTATTTGGCCTGTTTTGCAGACCTGCAAAAACAGATGTGTCATACCTGCTGGGGGCATTTGTTCATTCATTTGATGATATCTATGCATACGTTTACACATGCACGGATATATTTGCCTTCAGTGGGGTGGTTGTTAGCATTCTTGAACGCGCGTGAAGAAACTCATGTTTAATGTATGGGTTCAGCGTTACAAACATGTAACACAATGCAGCTTATTACTAAATGAATGACACTGCAGGTCAGGCAAATTGAACAATGAGAAAGAAGGAAGGCAATGTATTTTGCTAATGTATACTCATGTATACTCATGTATCCACATGTATACTCATGTATACTCATATATGCTCATGTATACTGTGGCGATGGCTTGAAAAGTTGATGGAATGACGGCAGTGAGAGCACACAGCACGAAACGTTCAACAATGTAACCACCAAGAGAAAGATACAACATAACTTCAAGCACGAACCAGCAAGAAAAAAAAGAGGAAAACAGAGGAATTAACTCAACAGGAGTAGTAGTGCTGGACTTTCTGCAAGTTGTTGCTGCTAACTTGAAAGAACTAGAGCGGAAAAGGAATGCTGTAAGACAAAAAAAAAAAGAGGGAGCGACCACACACTCTGGAAAAAATGGACGAGACGTAACAGCGTCCACATTTATAGCATAGCTTAACTTGTATTTCGTGAACTTTGCGTAACTCTAATTGATATTTCTTTCACAGCCCCCAACTTTGTGAGCTCAATCCACTACGAAGACTATGTGTATTTCTTCTTCCGTGAGTCAGCCGTGGAATATATCAACTGCGGCAAGGTGAATGTCATTTACATTTTCAACCTTGCATGCTTGCGGTCATGTCATGTGGCAGGATTCTAACGCATCGACAAGAACTGGATGCACAAGAAGCTAGAATTTTCTTACATCACAGAATTTCTTACATTACAAGAAGCTAGAATTTCCTTACATTTCTTTACAGTCAAATTTACTAGATATTGCCTAAAATGCCAGCGGCATCAGTACCTGTTTATATCATGCACCTCCTGACACTTTCAAAGAAATCTTTGCTTGTTTTTGAGGACCACATAGACTCCATGTTGAAAGCTAGTCATGCTCGACAATAGTAAACACGTAATGTTTCTCGGTGCATGTTATAAATGCTTGCTTGAGACTAACAATGTCATGAAATGGCTAATAATGGTCTCACGGAGCTGCGAAATTCTTATCTAGATGTCGAATCGCTGATCTTTGTAACCTAGTGACCGTGTTTAACATGGGTTGGCACCTGATTGGAAGAGATATCTGCTGAGACCCTGGCGCATTTAAGTTTTCCTGGAGTGTTGTTGTTTTTACTAGAGCTCATGTTTCCTAGATTTGGACTACTCAGATATTGCTTTTGTACTGTAAGACCTTGATTGTTTGTTCTCTTTCTCTCTTTTTGTCATGCAGACTGTCTACTCCCGTGTAGCAAGGGTGTGTACTCGGGACAAGGGTGGGCCTCACAAATTCCAGCAGCGCTGGACCTCCTTCCTCAAGGCCCGACTCAACTGCTCCGTTGGCGGAGACATTCCTTTCTATTTCAACGAAATACGTAAGCCTCTTCTCTGTTCGCTTATGTCTTTATGTGTGAGCAGTTTCTTGTGTGTACTGACAGGCTCCACATGATAGGTTGTTTCTCACAATAATGTGCATCACTATGGGAATGTCTGCATCCAAGCAACGTCATCTGGGTTTCAGTAAAATCACTGACATAGGTAGAAATGCTTGCCCCAAGTTTTCTGAAATAAGCTTGTGTGATTTCAGTTGCTTTTTTTTTTTTAAATAAATGTACGAGTGCTTCCATGTTTTATTTTATTGGTGCTGTAACGCTGTCAGTATCATTCAACTCATTACTTTTTTATTATTTGTGCAGCTTTCTCAATGTGGCATTTAAGATGTCATATGGATAGGAGCAAGTTGAAACACACACTTTAAGCCATCTATGATTTGTATCACTGGATATTCATACGGAACCCTAATAAATGGCGTACTTACAATGTACTCTAGCACGTCATTTCAAGCTGTGCTTCAGTTGTATATCATCAGATGCTTCAACGTGTATGCTTAGCTGCATTATGCAGACTTACGTAATTACATGTGAATGCTAAAACATTTTTTCCAGAATCGACCAGCCCAATTGTAGACGGCATCTACAATGGCAAGGAGGCCAAGCTCATCTACAGTGTATTCACCACGCCACAGTATGTTTACCTTTCTATGCACAGAATTGCCTATACACAGCCTTTCTAGATAAATCGTCACGTTTGTAAACTGCTGAACTGCTACGCACCCCAAAAATAAAATCTGTACTTCTCACTGGCTCCCAACTACAATGTTAACTAAGATTTGGCATGTCTGACGCCATAGTATTGCTCTGCAGTATTTATCATGGGTATATTTGATGCGTAGTCGAGTGACTATCGCAGAAAAGTCGCTGTGAATCTCTTGGGCTGCTGTAATAATAAGGTGGCACAAAATAGTGCAAGCAGGTAGATAATATGGGTGAATTGCCTAGGTTGATTGTTGTACCCAGAAAACAAACCCTATAAGATCAGAAGTGACCTGTCAGCCTCCCAGTGTATTAAAACCTCTGCATTAGAGCAGCAGTGGACCATAGCAGTTTCATTTAGCAAAGACTTAGATTAGGAGCATCAATTTTTGTTTTGCTGCTCGAAGCGTCGTACCGTACACATGGCACTGTTCACTTCCTTGCAACAGTAACAGCATCAGTGGATCAGCAGTGTGCGCATTCCGTGTGGAGGACATTCAGCGGGTATTTGAAGGCAGTTTCAAGGGGCAGGATGACATCAACTCGAACTGGCTGCCCATTGTCAACTCTAAGGTTCCAGAGCCCAGGCCGGGCCAGGTGAGGGCTCGTTTAGCTGTTATTAAGCTATTATGAAAGTTGTACGTGCACACTGTTTAAACGGCATCACACACAGCAAGTGTGCTGCAGATGTGAGGAAGACTAATTTTTTGTGCAAAGTGACAGGTTTATGGTACAAACTTATCTATGTAGGATGGTCGCCAAGGCGTGCTTCTTACAAAACCATCAATCACCATAGCATAAAAACGCATTGTGCCCAACTGACTAGAATAGTGCTCAGTTACATTTTAGCATAGCCTTCTTAAATTGTCTGCTTCTATTGTCACTTGCAACTTCTGACTTCTTAATTAGCAAGACTCATTTACTGTAGCGAGAAGCGATGATGAAATAAAGACAAAAAAGATTCGTCACTTCAGTTCAGATATTTATGTCTTTCACCTGTTGTCATTTCCTTGCTCTGCAATAGTTAGGTGCAGTTTCTTTGGAACTGCCATGAATTAATTCTTCTGGATGTACATCTGTGTTCTAGTGTGTCAATGACTCCAGGACACTACCAGATGTGACACTCAATTTTATCACGGAGCATCCGCTCATGGACCAGGCAGTTCCGTCACACTTTGGTCGGCCCATCTTGGTACACACAGGCTTCCAGTAAGTCTGTCATCTTGAATTTACAGAACTTTGCACATTTCTAGAGCCGGTAGCTGTAACTGTATAGCATTATGCTGAACTTTTCAGTGAAAAATATATCCATTTTTATACAACTCTAAGCATGTATGTACATCTTATCTTATTTTGCATGGCTGTGCGTGCCGCTTGCAAGTCTTAGATATAGCAATGTCATCGATATAGCTCAGCAAAAAAAAAAACTTCAATAAGCCAGCTTGATTATTAATTTTCAGCATGCAGTAGTTGTCTACATGGATGCTTGCAAGTAATAGCTACAATCTTTCAGCTTGTAAAATCATTTAACATTGCCTAATCTTGCCTGCTGGATCTGGATTTTTGTAGCATCTTTTCTGTACATGTTCTTGAAACTACATAAAATGTAGCCCTTACACAAGTCTACAACTGTTTCTTATTTCACTGATTGTTTCATGTGTTAGTTGCAATGTAATGGCATGAATAATGCCACCCGCTTCTATACACACTTATTTTTCTGATGTTCTAATTTGTGGTGCATGTGGTCGTAGGGCTTATACTCACAATATATGGATTATTATGCAGGTACCGATTCACATACATTGCTGTGGACCCCCAAGTAGAAACTGTGAGCGGCAAGAAGTACGACGTCCTCTTTATCGGAACAGGTGTGTTTCATGGCATGCTTTTGACTGCGGGTGCACTTTCACATTAATATGTCCAGTGAACTACAAGAAGCTTCGAGAAGGCGGCAGGCTGTAGGAGGAGGCTGCACTATGCATTTACGTTTTTCATACAGGTATCACATTTTTAGCAGGCTACTGCTTGTGTGAGAGCAGGCTACACTTTAACCTCGATAACAAACCCAGATGTAACAAAACACTGGTTATAACAAAGTAAATGAAGAATGATATTGCAATAAATATAGTGTTAGGAATGTACCCTTACTGCAATGTGTCGGATATAACGAACTTATTTTCATGTAAGACACAATTCGTTATAATGAGGTTTGAGTGTAGTTGTTGTTGGCTTATATAGCAGAGAGATTTAGAAGCGGTTTTCTATTCCCATGCAGACACTGGGCGAGTGCTGAAGGCAGTGAACGTACCACGGCAGCAGCAGTCAGCGGGAGGCCACCCAGTACTGGTGGAGGACGTCGGGGTGTTCCAGGGGGCACCTGTCACTAACCTGCTGGTGCACCGGCCACAAGGGCGCCTCGTAGTTGTCACCCACTCAGAGATACAGGCTGTGCCGCTTTTCAGCTGCCATCGCTATGCAGCGACCTGCGCGTGAGTCTATACCATTGATTTCTTTCCTTTTTCAGCTCTGGCATCTAGGCTGTGGGGCTGTTTGCACAAGATACATCTGTATGCCTTGCATAATTGAACCTTTAACTGGTGCACCCAGCAAGGGACACATATGTTTGTGGCCCTTCGAGTCAGTATGACTAGACACCATGTAATTGCAATCGAAAGGCGGACAGTGGAAACAGCTGCAGTGTGGGGGTTCATTGCTGATTCATGCTTGATATTGTTGCTTTCAGCGATTGCGTGGCCCTCCAAGACCCTTATTGCGCATGGGACAGCGATCGAAGCACTTGCGTCAACCCAAGCTTGAGGTATGCTCCTTTCACACCTTTAACATACCGACGTCGCTCGGTTGTTTACCCGCTCATACAGTATCACAGAACAAGCTCAACAGTTTCACAGGACATGCAGTATACTGGGAACGTACACAGGAGCCATCCAATTACTGCTTGAGCAGCTGCTCTATGAATCTCAAGAAAGGAAATTGATTGCTGGTGTCAGAAAACTCATGGCACACAAACATGATGTAGCTACCCCCCCCCCCCTTTTTTTTTTTCTTTCTGTTCTTGTAATTGTATTGGAACAAGGCCATATAACATCCAGTGCTCATCACATGTACTTCACGTTCCGCATCTTGTCGTTTATAGTGCTTGTACTGCCCTATGAAATGCCAGCTGGCAGTCGACTCACTTTCAGTAATAGTTCTCCTATCTGTACCCTGATTTATTTGACTGTATGCGTCGAGTATACATCTTTGAACATGGCATATTTGCACTCGTTTTATTCTTGCCGAAATCAGTAATAGCTATGATGCACATTCTCTGCAGGGTTAGAAAAAAGGACAGCTACGTCCAGAACATCGAAGAAGGATGGGATCACCGATGTGGCCAAGGTAAATTTTCACTCACTTCTAGTGCAATCAGAAGAAAAACAGGCATTGAACACTTTGTTTTCTTTAAATGTCTGGGCCTACCATGCGGCTGAGGCACCCGATGGCTCACAAGATCAGCACCGCATTCTTGATTGGGCTGTTGCACATACTGCACGGTGTTGGTGTGGCGTTAGAAATTGCAATGACAAGCACATTTTGTTATTAGTTCATTCGTTTTTTTTTTGCCTCGTACATTATTAGAAGTCTGTGGACAATGACTTTAGTCCAAGTGAGTTTACGTATCAAACAGCTGAGAATATATGAGACATGTGCAACTTAAGATTGTCACACAGCTGCTTTTGCTTTTTTTTTTTCAGGCACAATTTAGAAAAAATGAGAGTAGACAGGATTTAGAGATATATTTGTTAATCTTGACAGTTCATTGTAATTTTTTGCATATTACATAGCTAAGTGTTCCAAAGAACATAGATTTTCACAGAAAATATGTTTAAGTAAAATAGGTGCATGTGAATTGGTAGTAGCTAAAGTGAACACAGTAGAAAAGACCGCAATATATTTGTCATTTTCTAAGCATTGCTTGTTTTATTGTGGCGAGAAACTATAGCTAATGTTTCTATGACTAAATTAACATTTATTTAAAGGCACAACTTGCACCACTATTCTTGCAGCAAATCTTAGCGAGGCTTTGCAAGCTCGCGTGTGTTTTAAAAAATTAATTCCCAGTTTTTCTGACTTGAAAAATATGTTGCCCTGTGGCACATCAGGGTAGTGTTATCAGATACGCTGTAGTTGCTCAATGAAAGAAAAAAAAAAATCCCAGAGCAAGGTTGGAAGCTGGGTGTGTCAATGCACACGGCCATTCGTGACACCTCGCTTCTTTCGACCTGGCTCGGTACAGGGGTGTTGCAGGGGGCATCAGGTGTGACAGCGTCTCCTCCGGTGAGCGTGTGCCCCCCGTGTGACTGCACTTGCCCTCCTCCCCCAACCCTTCCTCCCACGCCGTCGCCGCCCCCAACCGAAGTCGACGACCCAGACATGGCCGCTGAAGAATTCAATGACCTCACTCGGCCCCAGTTCTTTGGTTAGTGTGGGCCACTCTCGGAGAATGCAGACCGACTAACGAAAAAAAAAAAAACCTTACGCTTCAAGGGACGCCGTGGCCAAAGCAAGGGAAATGGCTAAATGCCACTGTAGACACAACCTCTCTCTTTCTCTCTTTGTCGCCCTACTATTAACACACTACTTTAGTGAAACACATGTGTTCACTTGCATGACGCACCCCAGTGGCAAGCTGCAAAATCCCCGCACAATAGCCGGTTACGCTTCAGCTTTGAGATGGCAGCGTGAAAAAGCTTGCACAGGGCACTGTAACGCCAGAACTTGTGGGTTCAAATCCCATATGCTGTAAAGATTGATTTTAAGTCCGCTTTCATTCCTTTCAACCTATGTAAATATTATCACACTCGACTTAGAAAAAACAACGAATAATCTTCCCCGTGTTTTCCTTTGCGTAGTTGTCCGTTCGTTTCACAAGCTTTGTAACAAAGAAACAAGCCCCTCGAACAATTCCTCTTCTGCCACAGTCAAGCTAGTGAAGCTCATTAAACTTCATTTTGTAAACAGCACCAGATAGCTGAAAACATGTGTACCATATAGTGCTTTATAACGCAAGACCATGTGTATAGAGTGCCCCACTTTTTCTGCAATCTCCCTTCAGTCATTTCAGGCTTAAGCTTATTATCGCATGAGTTGAAATTTATAAAGTCAAGTGCGCAATTTTTTATAGATCATTCTAGTGCTATACACATAGGATGTCTTGCCAGATCAAGACATTTTAAGTCCTTGAAGGATCTCGCTCATTACGACTTATGTTGAGAATATGTAAGGTTCAGAAACTATGTTCAGTACATCATCAGGCTGACGCACAGCTGGCCAAGTGCTTTCATTGTTTGCACAACCTGCTTTTGTATGCGTGGTGGTGGTGCATATTCATTTCATAATATGACTGACTTTATAGCACTTACTTGCGGTGATGGTGTAAATGGCTGACGGGCCTTCCTTCCTGCATGAAACTGAAGCACCAGCGATATAAAGATGAGCCTGCTAACTAACAGTCTTTGTTGCAGCTTTTATTATTGCTAAATTTTTTGTCACTTATTTTTTTTCTGTCTCTTGTGGGAAATACAAACTCAATGCTATCACACTGCACATGTAAGCAGCTAGCTAAATGAGTAGTCTGTAATGGTTTACATAAGTGATTGATTGTGCAGCCAGGATTGTGAAGCAGATGGCAAACCTGCTAGATTTCATTAATTGACATCGCCTCATCAACTGGAGAACTTATGTACATTATGTAGCAAAGCCATTTTAAATTTTATAACTGCTACTGCGCGTCCCGTGGACTTGCCTCTGTGCATTTTGATTGAGCATTAGCCACCCCAGTTTGTGTTTTAAAAGAAGTTGATAGCCCCTCTCTTGATTTGGCTTACATTGGGTAAAAATTTGCTGCAGAACGTGATTGCATTGAGTCTGTAGGGATCAAAAATGGAGCAAAGAACACCATTGCAATTGGACGTCTACACCATCTGCCTGCGAGCTCTCGCTATGTAACTAACATGTAGTTCACTTAGAGACAGCCGCAAGTTTCAGGATATCAGAAGGTGTGCAGGTAGAAGTTATCACTATTTCAGGCATTCTCTCGCAAAGTAGACCTGCAAACAACCTGTAATTTAGTATATGCGCAGCAACCTAATACCAGATTTGAACTAATTGTAGGGCATTAAATGAAGCACTTCTGCACTTGGTATTGCCAAACCTGTGCTGCAGATTCACAGTGCAGGATGAGTGATAGCATGACAGAAATGTCCAGGAAGGATTGAACTCTTATTGCTGGCATATGAATGATATTTCATAGCTTTGCAACTACACTTAGGCCTCGATATAACAAATCTAGGTGTAACAAAATATTGGTTATAACCAAGTAAATGAAAAGTGGTCTCACAATAGATACAGTGTTAGGAATAAACCTCTATAATGAATTTTCGGATATTACAAAGCTATTTTTATGTAACATACATCATTGTGATAATGAGTTTTGAATGTACCGGTGGTGATGCTTTTGTACAGTGCAGTTTTTATAGACACCATCCACGCAGCACTTGCTGTGGTGCTTGATCAGAAGTTTAGCCTCTCTAGTATGCAAAGCAGCCATCTCAAACCAGTTCAGCTCATCAATTATAGGCTCAAAATTTTCGCCGTTAATTTAAAGCAAGAAATGCTGGTGAATGGTGCAGTATAATCGCCATGTCATTATGAGCTTACACTCATTGAGTCACTGGACCAAACACACGATGAAGTTGGCGTCAGATTGCACTGGTGTTGGGGATGTTTAATAGACATAATTGTCTGGTGTGGGCATGCGGTGGTTAGAGCACTGACCAATGGTGGTCTTGCCTGTGGGTGCCAGGGAGGCCCCCATCGTCGAACGGTCCCCTGCGGTCCCCACACCAGTACCAGGGGTCTGGAATGGACGACGCTGCTCACCCAAATTCGGCGTCCCGTCCCTTGGGAGACGGTCACGAAGGTGAGCCCGGCCCCTCCCTCTGGAAACACCTCTTCCTTCTTTTTTTTCCCCTCTTTTCTGGCTTCCTGATGCTTGCGTGTTCTTCGGTGCTCCACACTTGGACGTGACAGTCCGTCACTTGCACTGCCACAGCTGTGGACAATAACCCAACTAACCAGACCCTCTCTCATACCTGTCATCACAATCGCAAACAGGTGTGGTGTGTGCTGCTGAGAATACAAAAGGGCAGCTTTAGTTGTGTACGCAAGTATTCAATGCAGTGTTGTTTTTTTCCCTGCGGTCACCGGTTTAAGGTGCATCTGGCGTTATGTGTAGAATAATGGTGAGCGTGCTCTGCAAAGAATGGTGGGAAATAGAAGAACGCAGCAGGTGCAACCACTAAATTCTCGAGCATGTAAGAAAGCCAACTTCAACTTTATTTCACACAAGTGACATTCAGAGTGGTGCAACAACATGGTGTTTGATTGGGCAGCATTACTGTATGAACAAGCCACATTGTTGAGCAACAAAAGAAAAAAAAACTGTTTATTTTCAGGTACTGTGCAAGATAATGTTCATAATATTTTGTGCAAAATATCACAAACAATTATTATTAATTGTCACAAGAACTCACAGGTACTGACTTGGCATTTACATAGTAAAATACTACACAATGTATATTTCTATCCAGGGAATCTTTGCAGAACAATTCATTATATAAGCAAACATTGTACAGGTGCCTGTGTTGCAAGTTTTACAAGCACATATGTTTTTTTTTTTTTTCATTGTAGCTGCTTAACTGTGAGCTCCATATGAAGTTTTTACCGTCACACTACACTTAGGCATGCCCAGTGTTCCCCTTCAGGGAGGGGGAATGGGGCGAAGGTCTGTAGCAAGCCCCCTCCTCCCTATTTATATCTCTGTATGGGGCTGGCTTTCCCCCCTCCCTCTTAGGTGGCTGGGGGGGCACCGTCCTGCACTCCCCATGCGTATGACACCTATGACACTACACATTTATGTAAATGGGGACAATTTATTACTGACAGACTGAATTCCCAGGGAAGCTCAATACAGTTGAAAAATGGGAAATTTCGATTCTGTGATTGTGAAAGTAGTCAGATAATGTGTATATTAGATGCACTGTTTGTAGCTGGCGGTTGTGCTGATGAGGCTGCTGTAGCAGATTCATAGACAAGGCCTGTGGTGGTCATCTGACATTACCAATAGACCTCTACTGGGGTACGTCACAGCGTGACGTCACTGGCGCACGTTCAAGGTGTGGTTGGTATAACACCCCCGCTGATCCCTCAGCACGGTACAGCCTGTGCGATGTTTGGGGCAAGTTTTCTTTCTTTTTCTAAGCTTACACTTGATGTTACAGTGGCGACATTAGCTGTAGTATGTGTCAGAGAGCATCTAGCTGTGTGGTAAACTACGGGATGAAATATTTGCCACGCTGGCTGGCTGTTTATCTTGAAGAAGTGAACACATGTGGTGGTCTGTGCGAGGAACAGTGGCATCGTCTTTGAAAATGTGCAGTGTTGATTGTGGCGTTCAGTGTGCATTGAAAGGCATAGACAATATTGATTCACTTTTATGGACGATGAAACAAAGAATATTCTGCATCGTGTGTGCAGTGTGCATAACAATGCGTCTTGTTTGCGAAAACATTGGCACTCATTGGGGGCCGGTGTCAGCAATTGGTTGTCGACGAAACTTCACGATTCTACATTTTAGTCAAGGTAAAAATGCATTTGACGCAATCATCTGCGAGTCGGTACATCTCAGCGTTTGCGGTGCGTGCAGAAAAAAAAATTCCATGATTTTTGGGCTGAAAGATACGACAACACATGAACTATAAGCATGTTTACCATTGCCGAAGCTACATATACGCTTCGCCCCGGCGAGTATGCATACCCAATAAACTTATAGCTCGTATTATCGGAGGCCTCATATGTCTTCATATAAAGAGCAGGAGATTATTGTTTCACATATACTTCGTACCTTTACGGCTGAATATTTATGAAGTGACGATGTACACTACAAGTTTGTGTGTCAGGTCTCAAGGAGCAATGTAACTGTGCCAAGATTACGTATATACTTAAGTTATCGAGTTTAAAATTGCATAAATTTTCAGTGGGCTATGAAGAACGTCGCCGACAGCTTCGCTTTAATTTTCACGAGGATTTGTTAACCTCAGTCTAACGCATGACAAAAAGTACTTTCTTGGTTTTCCTTTTTTTTTCCCCATTCGTCTTCGATCAGAATTTTGCAACGCGAGTGGCAATCTTCTCCGTGACCTCTCGCACGGAAGCTCAAAACCATGCTGCCGTCAATGCCGTGCCTTGCTTAAAATTGCAGTGCACATGTGGCGACAAAAATTGAGTGCATTTACGTCCATACCATGCCAATATTTTTCAAAGCTTCCATTACCATCAAATGCAAAACATTCGCTTTCGAAGAGGAAAAGATTTTTTTTTTAATGGCTGCCATCTACAACGAGGAAATCGCTGCATGTTAACATAACAGAATCCTGCATTATATGCTGTCACCCTTCTTTTTAGCGGCTTTAGAAAAACAACAATTCGCCGAAATTTTTGTTTTGTTAGAGGAATGCAGACACACACGGCCCTGTGATGCAGAAAGATCCCGTCAGCGAACTTTCTTGCTAACCAGCCCCTGCGCCGAGAGAGGGAATGGCGGGCCGGTACTCGCAGTGACAACACACTGTTTGCAAAAAGAGAGAGGTCTATAGATGTACTAAGTGTACTGGCACTCTGTTGGTTTGTCTTCCAAGTTCTAGCTGACTCATGCTACACAGTAATTTGTGCTGCCATTACTTCCCAAGTAATTTAGTAAATCCTGGATTTCTCGGAATTATTCATTTGTTATTTCCCACAACACGCAGTTGTGATAGTGGCACAAAGTTAGCAGTGTCAATCACATATGTGAAGCACGTGAACGCTGCATTTCTGTTTAGCTGTCACTAATTTTTGCATGTTCGATCATCATGCCTGCAGTTGAATCCCCCTTTTATCACCGTCTCAGTTTTATTAGTCATAGACATGTGATAATGACTAGTATGGTTTGAGAATGACTCTTCCACGGCTTTGAGGGTGCACATAGTTTCATTTACCTCTTGTCTTCTCACATCTAAACTTTAGCAGGAGGGGCCTGGCAAACCAATGTCAAGTTTAAAATTTTGCTGCATCATCTGCAGTGGTTGTATGTATCTAAAGCGAGCCACAATGTTGGCTGGTGCTGGAGTGGCTTGGTTAATATATGCATGCCATTCTTTCTTGAAGGTAGCAACTGGGTGTGGTTTTCTGGGAATTTCGCCCAACTAATTGTGGTACAAAAATGTATTATGAAATGATCACATAATTAATGAAAATGTTGAAGGGGAGTTGCCTGACATTTCATGAAAAAATCACTCTAAAAGGGCCATGGCAGTGATTAAAATTGAAGCATTTGAAATCGAAACCCGAGATTATTTTTATAGTACAGCTGCATGGGTAGACATCTTCAGTGGTGTTTCGTCACCAAGGCTTCTTCAAAGTTGCGAACCACGCATTTCAAGAGAGTGTTACTTATTTACGTTTTTTAGGATTGCGATTAAAACATGGATGACGAGGGTACAGCTAGCACTGGACTTGCCATACGACATTAATGGCCATGCCTGTTAACATTAATGGCCATGCCGACATTAATGGCCATGCCTGTTAACAGGCATGGCCACTAATGCCACAAACTTACCAAGTCTCCAGATGAGCCCTGTTGGCAGTCAGACTTGTGCATTACATATTTCAGCCATTATAAGCATGGTCTTCAAAAAAACAAGCACACTGTGAAGAGCTACAGATTCCAGTGAAGTCCAAAGGCAGTCAGCCCAACACATAATATATTTTAAACTGCTTCGAATGAATTGAACATTGGAATGCAGTTTAAAATTTTTATCTGCCAGTGATATCTGTGAGGAATAAAAACAGAACACCGCGCGGAAATTCGCAAACATACGGGAAAATAAATTGGAAGCGAAGATCTCTATGGGGACAAAGAAACATTGAACAAATATTCACAGTAGGATGAGAAAGAGCATAATCTTGGGCATGTTGGGAATTTCGGTCACAATCTTTAGTGCTCAAAATGACTTGGACACGGCATTTTTTGTCCTTATTCTTCTGTGTGCTAAAGAAGTGACAGGATGGTAAGTTTGATTTCTGAAGCGAATTCCGGAAGCTACTTGGCACATTCCAGTGAAACGCCAGAATATTCACCATAAGACACCAGCAGAAGGTATTCATCTGTCAAGGCTTCTGGTTTCTAAAGAGGCTAGAAGTGGTAACTTGTCAGCAGTCGAGTAAAACAAGATATGTTTAAAGTATTGGTGCAGAAAATCGGAGAAGGTAGCGATGGAACCAGAGTCATCACAGGCTTCAGCAACAATACGTTATAGGAACAGGGACTTGTATTTAAAAAAAAGGATGAAAAGAAAGATAGTGAGGATGCTAGACTACAGTAAATTAAATAACCCATAATTAAAGCAGAGAGGCTATTCGATCACTTGTTGCCGCCCATTTTAAAGGGGATGCCAATAAATGCCATGTTCATGTTTAGTACGTCTGCGCACCCTCTGAGGAAACAAATAACGATACTGTGTATGTGGTTGTTGTTTGTGCACGGTATCAAACCTCTGTATAGCAGGTGAATGCTGACTAGCTCAGAGTGAAGTGAGCGACTGGCAAATGCTGTATGGCAGTAATAGTGGCTCCTGGTGAAGAGGAGCGACAACCAAATGCAGCATAAAAAGAAAGATGGTATATGAAATTCTTAAGTGGGCTTGTGTTCTTGAAATGTGTGGGCTCGTGCTAATATTTGAGTGTGTCGAATACTCGAGAACTCACTTCAATTTGAATTTAAGTTATTGTACATTTCGAGTATTCTTAATAAACGAATAGGTGCATAGTTAAACCGCATGTAATGCACTGTAAAGGTGGTTCCACAGCAGTGTAGGAGTGCTAAGCCGTGAAAGCAATAATCCAGGGGAAACACGCACTACCGCAAAGTCCCGCTTAGTAGTTAAATGGAGATATTACCCCCACATCAGTTCATCAATTTTAAAGTTTAAGAGCTCATTATACCGGCTTGTATGCTTAAGTATACTAAAGTTTGAAACGTAACATATTTTACAAGTTATCACTTGCATTCTACCAAAAGTCAAATCCTGCTTTTACTCCAAGTTTCTTTGAACAAACGGCATTTCCACAGGCCTTGTTTTAGTTCTTGATAAATATTGGGCAGGTTAATGGGCTCATGACAAATATGCCCATTTTCCCTTAAAATGTGTTATATATACTATTTGAATTCGATTTGAATAGTACATATTTGACCAAAATTGCTGTTCACTTCAAACCTAAAATTCACTATTCGCTCAAGTTTAGAAATGTGGAGGTGAAATTAAATAAACGAGATAAAAGCTATTCTAAGTTCCAGGTAGACAGCCTTCTACACTTAGTATGCATAGTCTCAAGTCTTGCACTGGCCACCAAGCTGAATTATAAGGAGGGGGCTTCATATGCATATTAAAGTATTGAATAAATGACCACACTCTCAACTGTTGCGGAGAGTTTTGCACTGAAGGCACATTTATCAAAGAAGCAGTTGGCAAAATTGACAATTTCTTTAGAAGTTCTGATCAACAGTATATGGTTTAAGAACACTCACAAAATTTTTAAATATGATAAATCAATGCCTAATTATAGTGTGTGGTGTCAGTTCACCCAGTGTCATATCTGAGAACTTCCGGTAATTTTTTTGATAATTCAAACAAAATTCAGAGGTTTCTTTGAGTTTGAATGAACAAGAGCCGACTGTACTTGTATTCAGGCACAAGTGACAAAATATTGGCATTGAAAGAACAAACAGACTTCAGTGATAAATTATGGTATACCGGCTACCTGGTTTGCTGGTGTTTGTTTTTCTCTCTTTCTATCATCTTGTGCATTTCTGTTTCTGGCACTGAATATTGCTGCATGTTAATGAGCAGCTGTGCATTGTTCAAAATGCTTATCATATGTTTTAATTGCATGATGAAATGTGACCGAAATCTACTATTTGGCCTAAGTGTCCTTCCTTTTGGCCTAATGTTGGCAGAACATCAGCGTGTGTAGTGTTGTATTGAATTGGACCATTTGGTATGATGCTGAAGCTGAAAAGGACAACAAAAACAGTGCTGTGTTTGTCATCATTTCATTTTCAGCATTGTTCACTTCAAGTTCATCAACATGGAATCTGTAATCTCGCTGTTTACTCCCACCCTTTCCATAACTGATGCTTCTGCAGGCAAAAGGAACTGAGCACACTGAGATAGCATTTACACTGTGCAATATTTTGATCACTGCATAAGAAGGATCGCAATATTGTCGGTGTAATTTGAATTACTTGACATTACTTGAGATGGCCATTACTTCAACAGCATTTACACTGTTCTACAGCTGCAGCAGCAAGAAAAAAAAAAGGAACAGTTGAATTGGTGATGACAGATTTTACTACAAACAGACGAATTAGATTGTGTGTAACTGATAGCATGAACACACCATATCATTCTTAGTGAAAGTTTTGAACTGTCGGACAGTGCATTCTAACTTCTGTGTTCCAAATTTTTCACTTTGGTGTTCAGGCAATGGCATTGTTCCATATCCTTAATGCTAAACCTAAGGCTCTGCCCTCACGTTTCTGCTTGATCCATCTCTCTGTCGTGTGTTGTGTGCCATTGTCTCCCTACACTTTTCCTCTTCATGCATGATTTGTTAGTTCTGTGACATGCATACTTTCTCAAAATGCTTTTTTGCGCAGTGACACTAGGCAAGGCACACTAAACAACAAAATAGCAGACATAACGGTACAAGCAAGACGATGGGTACCAACGTAGCTCTACATTACAACTCAGTCTGATGGGAGTTGGTGTGGCAACTTATATTTTATTGTATCTCTCTATGTTTGCTTTCTTGCATATTAATGAGAACTAACAAACAGTGGTGCCAGGGAAAATGCAGGGGATGTTATTAGGAGTAATTGTAATGTAAATATGAAGAAAGAAAAGTGGATGAAAAGATAACTAGCCATCATCAGGTCCCTGCTGGTGGCAAAACATTGGTTGGCACGCATCAGCGCTGGAGCCTTGCATCATCATGGGACAGTGTCCATAAATTGCCAATGCTGGCTTTAGTCCTGTCTGTTAGTTTTCATAATATTGCATCCAGTGAAAAAAAAAAATGAGTCCCTAAATTTGCACTTCTTTCTTGCATATGCACTTTATACAGTGCACCAGTAAATTCAAGTGGAAAGTTGAAAAGTCCGTTTTCTTCATTGTGTTCAGTCCAGAGTGTGCTGTGCTCTCTGCCAGCCTGAGTAACCAGCTCTGGAATTCGTTTGAGTACATTCATGGACAATTTAAATAGGAACAAGTAGGAGCGAAGTAAAAAGCATTCTTTTCTCGTTTTTGTCTATACACTTAATTGTCATGATCTTATTGGTACACTCAATTATGAGTCCAAACAACCTTTTGTAACGGCCCAATTATGTATTTAAGATTGCACTAAGGAGAAGCTGTCGCACTTTGCCATTTCTTGCTCTTGTTTCATATGTCCTTGACTGTACATTTTCTAGGGTGAACATTTTACTCGCGAAATGCCTGAAAAACGTCGACTGTCATGGTGTTGTTGGGGGATTGACACAGCACGATGAGAAATCACCTGCAATAATTAGTTTTAACTTTCGGCATTAAAAAGTTTTTTCTTGCAATAATGGTCTTCCCTGAAACAAGAAAGTTTATGTTCAATTGCATATCTGTGTTGAAATTCGAATGCGTACTTGCTGTCAACAAAGGCAAGACCGGCAAGACAGTGTGTGCACTTTGCATTAGACGCATTCATCACAGCCGTGAACCACACAGCTGGCTGACTTTTGAAAATCTAGGAGGGTTTGCAGCTAACACATTATAAATAGATTGGCCAGATGCTGCTAACGGCAAGGTGCTGCCAAACGTTAATAAAAATTTGAAATGCAGGACTTAGGACTTTTCTATCTATTATGGGACACGAGACAACAGCCCTCGACTCGAAACTGTCTCACAAGTCACAGAACAAATGGTTACCTTAACATATATTGGTAACCTTTCCAGCCATGAACACTTAGTTCCACTCAGCATTGCATAACACTGTGTAGTGTGTCTTAAGTTACTTACTGGCTCACGTCGCATCTCCCTCCCCACAGGCGCTGTGGCCGGCTCTTCTTTGCATGGTGACCAGAGGACAGGCGCTTCCTCCCAGTTCTACACAGCTGAGACTCTGGCTATTGCTGTGACCACCAGCATTGTAGCTTCCCTGGTGGTGGGCTTCATTAGCGGCTACATCTTCAGCCGGCGCTGCCGCAGCGATGAAGAAGCCGAGGAGACGTGCCCGCCCGACGACTATTCACGTTACCTGGACCGGGGAGGTGACCCCCACTCTGAAGGTTTCCTGTCGTCGACACACAACCATGCCAAGCCCATCAACCTTGTCCTCAACGTGCCGCCCAAGAACGGCAAGAATGCCAACAGCTCGGCGGACAACAAGCCTCTGCAGAAAGTGAAAAAGATTTACTTATAGCCTCTTGCGAGGCCGGGCCTGGAGCCGTTTCAGGTCTATTGAGCACCTCGGGCTGCAACAGATGCACGCTCTCCTTCCCGGCACATCTCGATGGAAGGCCTTCATTGACCTGCGCAGACATTTTGATGCAAGCGCACCTCGGGGAATGAGCAGCATCTCGAGCACGGCATGATCGAGCAGCCGGCAGAGGAATGCGAATGGCCATTATGCAAAGCGCAAGACGGCACCGTGCACCTTCAAGAGGCGCCTTCTCTTTCTTTCTGCGAGGCCTCCGCAGCACAAGAGCTGTGGGCTTGCCGCTCCTGGGTCCGGCATTTAGGGAATATCGAAAAAACAAAAAAACAGTCAGTTCGAGAGACACCAGCAAGTGGGTATTGGCCACGCTTGCATAAATGGAAGACTACAGGGGACTGCATGTGCAACATTGTTTGCTCTGCTGCGTGTGTGTGATGGCAAAAAAATGTGTGTGCACTCTTGCCTGCAGAGCTGTTCAGCCACCTAGCCCTCCGATAGCTTGGTGACTGGTCTGAGTGGAACCTGCTGCAAGCTCTGGCCATGTGCGAGTGATCTGTCTTATTAGTGGTGGACGCAAGAGACCGTGTGTAGTCTACACCCAGCCCCCACCTGTCCCAGCAATCCTGCAGAGGAGGACAGCGATCAGATCTAGTCTTGGTTGGCACGCACCAGCACTGAAGCCTTGCATCGTCATGGGACAGTGTCCGTAAAGCGCCAATGCTGGCTTCCACATCTTAGTTGCATCTCGCCCAACAGTGAATACGCCGCAACTGTTGCTCTGCCAAAGGACTTACCCGTACCTTGCCTGGCTGCCTCCGCTTTTATTGTTTTACTATTTCGCACTTTCTTTGCGCCAATATACAACTTGTTAAGCATTGTAAAGCGTCAGCATTCCATTCGCAAGTTACTTCATTTCTTAGGCATGATTATTGTTTATTTTACACCATACCCCTCTCTTGCTCAAAAAAGAGTGTACTTTGCTCCGTTTCTTTACACCTACACCTGTTTGGGCAGTGTGTCAGTAACCGAGTGTTTTGTCTTCTAAAAGAAATGTATTATTTATTGAATTCCATTTGCAAAGGCAACATTAAGTGCAAGTGTACAGAGCCAGTAAACCTTTTGTGACTACTCTCCCCTTTCCCTCGCCCTCGTGCTTTGATGCACACTCAGCGATCTGTCGACACATTGGTCGGGTAACTTCCTAGCCGTCCCCAAGCTGCTGCCAGGATACATGGACACAGCATGCGGCACATTTGGCGTACTAGTATGTGGCACGGAAGTGGAGTGGTCTCTGTGGTTCAATTTAACCTAGTCCCTTAAAGCAAGCATCCAGGGTTTATGTGTCAGTCCAGTGTTGTCACTTCACTCCGCATCTTGTGTGTATTTTACATAGAGTCGAAGTATGTATTAGTTGTACGTGCTTTCACTGGAACTCTGGCGCTGTGCTTGATAGAGAGTCTCACACAGCTACGTCGCTCAAGCGAGGACTGTCGTACAAAGAACGCACTTTTCAGTGCGCACACATCGACCCGTCAAGTGACAGAAGTGTCTCGAGCGACACAACTGTAAGCTGCGGTGCGTGTTTTCTGCCACTCGTGGCACATCAATCCTTGCTTCTTTTTAATGCAGGACTCGGCACTGAGACTCTTCAGTACTATCAACCGAAACTTTCCTTTGATTTAAGCGGTGGTCAAGCGTGTGACTTTGCGAAAAGTCGAAGCAGAGGGCGCATTGGAATAAAAACCACCGCTTGATTGTGTAAAATACAGAGATGTGTTTAGAATGGAACATGTCGTTACGCTAGCTACGTCACACAAAGGTGGCCGGTGATGCAGCTCGTCTCACAAAGCATTTGTGAATTTTCTTCATCATTTTCAGCACTCCTGTGTCATAGACTGTGAAATAGAACTTGTCATTATTCATTTGTGTGGTTGCTAAGTATTGTGTAAAATCTATAAGTCTGGCAATGAAGTCTGAAAATAAAAAAACAAAGGCTTAGCATGTAAATTAATACAAAGAAGTATATTTATGCATGGCAGCTTTCGTCGGGCACCTGCACTCAAATACTCGTTCGTGAGATGGCGTTCGGAGCTTTCTTTATACATATATATATATATAGGATATATAGGATATATTTCTTGTGTGTTATTTTAGTTGTATTTTTATTCGTGTACATAGTTGATATGTCATTAGAGCTTTTGTGTTAAGTTTTGTTGTTTTTAGCTTGCGGCTTCTGTGCAACTTAACAAATGCACCGCAATCAGTGTTAGACCTGTGTCATGCAAATCCTACGCAGAACTCCTAGCAAGTTGTATGAGAAAGTGGCTTGCATAATGTTCAGTAGACATCTTTTAATCTTGCTTTTTCAAAGGATGTCATTATCATGAAAATGAGGCCACTGTGCTGGCTCCATTTGTCTGGGTAGTGGAAAGAAATGAAATAGGGTCCATAGGTATAAGTCAGTCTGCATAGAACATAATCAGGCCTCATTTCACCCATAGTCTGTAACATTTTCAAAACCACTAAAAAAGAGAGAGAGAGAAAAAATTGTGGCAAGTCTAGAACACTAAAATGCCCTTATTTTTACGATAGCAGAAGTACGCTATTGAGGTTGAATGAACTCTCACCCTTTTGAACTTCCAGTCTACGCTAATAATGCACATCCCCTTCATTTAGTGCTTGCGCCCGCCTTGCAGTTTATCTCATGAGCGTATTCTTTCATGGCAATCTCTCACTGATCACAGGAAATTAAGTTAAATGACGGTGCCTTTAGGGGCTAGGTTGAAAATTGTGCTTGACATTTGTGTTGCATCCTGTCATGTTCATTTGTACATTTTAGAGACACATATTACACATATTACGATGGGCACACATGCATTTATTGTTTATTTGTGCAAAGCTAGTGATCGAACAGAAAGCTTCAGCTGGCAGTTTGGCCTCTTTTGTTATTAAGCAAAAACACTTTGGCAGGTTATTTGGCACCATTTGTTCGAAGTCAAGCATCTGGATGTTTGCGCTACATTTTTGTTACATAATGCAAGGCATAAGGCAATGTAGATTAATGTTAATAGTCCACACAAAGTGGCACGCAACGCAAAGTTGTACTTACTGTGTAACAAAAATGTCACCTTACCAGCGGTGTTGAAAGCTTCCCATGATTTCCACGAGTCGCAAACACGAATTGACCACTCGTCGGCGCAACCGGAAACCTCCCCTCTTTGCTGTGCGGGTAAAATTAGCCGACTGTTGTCAGTGCATTCTCGATCTCATGTTGGAACACGTGTTCTCTTGCTTACGGCAAGCAAACTTGCAACCTGTGGAGATCACTGCTCCCTGCATTATAATTAGTACGGAGCACCCAATTTTCTGTCTTGTTCTGCCCTTATTGTTGATGACCTTTTACTTGTCCTTGTATTGCTTGCGCCTTTTGATTGAATGTGCCAGCTAGGTGTTGCTTTACGTGTACATAGCTGCCTCCAGTCTCCCCTTCCTTTATCTTCCACAATGTGTAATACGCGACTGTCCAGAGCGCTTCTGATTTCACTGTCCTACAAAAAAAAAAAGGAAGAAACAAGGGCCTAGAGACAACAGGCATCTGGCAACATAGTCGCTCCAGTGTTCTCTGCTGGCTACGTACAGCTTTTTCGTCAGACAATAACAGTTAGTAATAACGCTGTATACATATACAGGGATAATGTTGTAATCGAAGCCCTCCTCTTCTCCTGACCCTGCTCCCACCTCGACAGTCTGTATCAACAAATACAAAAGGGGGGAAAAAAAATAAGATAGTGACATTTCTGTGCATACATCGTATTCTTTTGTACATCGAGAGAAGTGACCCTGCCCGGAGAGTGTTATATTTTTCTTCGTGCAGGCTAGCATGTCCATGTCCCTTGACAGCGCAAGTATTGTACAGGTATGTTGACGTTACTATGATAATAAAACTTCTGACTCCAAGGTGAGCTCTGTGTCACCGTGTTGTTTTTCATATTAGTCGAGTGTCTGGGCTGCACGCTTGTGCAATCACAGCCAGTTTTTTTGTTTTTAATAACAAAAGTACAAGAAAGCCAAAGTGCAGCTAGGAGCATACACTGAAGAAGAAAAAAGAAAACGGCCAGTGACTCAAAACACAGGTTTCAATTACCTCATTCACTGGTCGTTTATTGAACATACTAGGCTTGCATTGTAACTGCTCATATCTGTCGTGCTCACTGCTATACCTAACGTTTTACAAAGCATTGCATTTGCAGTTGCATGTAATTACAGGGTTCTTGCTCAGTATTACTGCAAAATGCTTGCAAGCAATATCCTTGTATAGAAAAGCATATAAAATCTATTTAAGGGTGGCCACACACGTAGTTTAGTGCTGGTAAGAAGACAAGGTGGAGGTGGTATTCATATGGCAAGTTTGCATCAAGAACTCTGGGCAAAAATTCATATGCAAGCCACATAATTGTGTTCACGGCTCATTGTGGTTCCCATTTTATTGCAGAACAACTGTTTTGCCTGTGGCATGAAAATAATGTGTACCTAGTTCAAGTTATAAAGCTGTAGACCATTAAGCAAGTTAAGAAACTTATTGAAATAAACTTGACATTGATATAGTGTGCTTTTGCATGCACTACAAACCCACTATGCACCCACATAGTTATCTGCAAATGTGTGCACAAGCTGATCACTTGTACTTTAGGTACCTTCATATGTTTGTGCACACCAAGACAGCCAATCAGATGTAAAAGCATACTCATAAAAGTATTTCGCATACGTCTTGAAACAGATCTGATCATACTTGTGCTGCAAGCTTGAATATTATATACACTGTAGTTTAGTAAAATCAGTAGGTGGCTGAATACTTCCTTTTTACATTTCCGTGTTATCATATGATGGCTCATTCTTTCATTAATTAGCATTACACTCAAGTTAATGTGGTTTTTAAGTCTGCTAGACGTAAAGTCACTGGTGATTTCTCAAGCAATAATCTTGTTGACACTCTCGTGAAGACAACTCGACGGCAGAATTAAAAAATTAATCTCTTCCAGCTTTAGCAATCATACAGGTCAAAGAGATGTGGTGAAACAAAGTTAGCAGAGGCGTAATAAGTTGCAGAGTTTCCGTTCGACCATGCTCTAGAGGTTCTTTTTCACTTCCTCAATGAATGAGATGGACACTCAACCTGGTCTGTCTTAAAGTAAGCGAGGGTTACTCCTGAGAGACTTTCTGGGGCAGTGCCAGTGGGGCAAATGGGGAGTCGGAGCCCGCACCCCCAAAGAGCAAGCGTAGTCAAAACACAACGCATGTGTTCCCAGCCTCCCTGAAGGAACTCCCTTGTCCTGAATGGCCCCTCAGCTAAACAATCCTAGCGCCGCCAGTGGGGACCTATAACAATAATTGTTGGGGTTTTATGTCCAAATGATTTGTTTTAGAGCAATACCTTCGACAGGCTCGATCTCTAGCCTCATGTTATTGCTTTGTTTTTCTTACATGTACAGAAATGAATAAATTAAAATCTCTCAAATTACAACACGATTCTGAGGGATGGGAGGGCTCCATAGATTTTGGCCATGTGGCGTTCTTTAAGGCACACTTGTAATCTAAGTACACGGGCATTCATTCAGCCTCCACCATAATGCGGCCGATCTCACGAACAGTCGAGCATCATAGCCGCTAGACTACCGCGGCGAGTGCAGATACACTTTAATTGGGCTTCAACGAAATTTATAGGAACACTTAACTGAGAGATTTCCGTTGGACATGGCCATCACACTGTGGTGTAAAGCTTGGCACGCATTCGACGTGGCTACCCGGTATTTGGATTCTACATAATGGGGGATCGAGAAACAAGCGTTGCAGCATGTGTCCATCCGGGCAGAGACGGTATTTGTCCTATTGCACTCTAACGGAGCCCTCTGTGGCAACGCGCATCCACGCTAAGACGCAATGTGCGCTTCTTTGTGCCAGATAAAGCGCCTGTGGCGGCCGTCATTTGACACATGTGAGATAGGACAGATGGCCGCTAGGGATATGCCTCCTCCGCCGCCAGGCACGTACCGTGCCAATGGTGCGCGGTGTCTGCTCGCTATCTTCAATTTCCTTTCTCGCTTTTCACCGCAACCGCGCAGTTTCGCACGACCGACCGGCTCTGAGCCCTTCATACGCGCCACAGCGCGGTCCATCGAGTGTCCAGTAGAACTCGTTTTGAATTTACAATTCAGTGCGTCGACCTGACTCGATCCGCAGCGAGTTCACGATGCTCCGGTGGCTCACGCATTTGACGATCACCTACTGCATCCTCGGATGGAACAGTGTTGGAGCTGCCAAGAAACCGTAAGCTAATCAACTTGCTGCTTAAACTTTCTGCGGTAACTCGCCGCTGCAGTGAATGTTCCAGCACAGAACACTTGCATGGGTCCAGTTCGCGGCTTCGCGCCACTCTTCGACCAATAAGTACAGTTCGTGAATCGACATATACGGGTTGCATACATTCGGCTTGTCACGAACAACTCCCCAGAGTTTAAGAGGCTCATGAATTGAAATATCTCGATCAAGCGAGGAGGGTTATTACGTTGTAATGCGCGATAGTTGCAAACTGATTACCTTGACGGGTGCTCGTGAGTATGGACTAAGCGCGGAAACACCGCCACGAGCCATGGCACGAGCACTTCATTTTTTTGCTTTTGGCTTTCATACAAAGCCCAGAATTGAACAGCGTTACGAATGCTCATCTTAACTTCAAGGGCATTGCTTTCAAGCGTGTCAAAAATGGCGCTAAAACATGGCGCATAGTTCAAATTTGGTCATTGAACTCTACGGCACAACTTAAAGGCTTACTCAGTAAATTTTAGTCGGTCTATTAGTAAGTTTATACCAGATTTTTGTGAAATAATCCCGAGGAGTTTGCTCTTTTAATGCTCCACTTTTTTTTTGAGGGCGCGACGAGCGCCAGCTGAGTTTTGATTTTGTTTTTTCGTGTTCTCCCGGTCCCCGCAGCTTATGTGTTTCTTCTTGTCTCGCTTCTTCCGCGCTGACCGCTCCTTGTTCTCCCTCTCCACTAGCTTCTTTGGCCCGCACGACGGCCAACTCAGCTTCTCCTGTTTTCACAGCCACGTCCGCCGTATCACGCGTATCTTTCTATGACCACCAACGTCAAGGCAGAGAGGAGACCACTGATACTAAGCGAAGATGCGCAGATTTCCAGAACCTTAAGAGCTCTCCAAATTCGCTTCGTTCTTCATTTATCGACGCTTCGTAAAACGCGGCAGCAACTCGGCCAAGAATGGAAGCCACTGGCAAAAGTTACCTCGGCCTCGACTTCAGCACGCAGCAGCTGAAAGGTCTGGCGATCGATGACAAGCTCAAAGTGGTTTGCGAAGCGGCGGTTCAGTTCGACAATGACTTGCCTGAATATCGCACTCAGAACGGCGTGAACAAGAATCGTGACACCCTGACAGTGACGGCGCCAGCGATCATGTGGGTGAAAGCGCTTGACATGCTGCTAGAGCGCCTCAAGGTAGCGGGCCTTGACTTGGCAACCGTAGCGGCCATCTCCGGGAGCGGTCAGCAACACGGAAGTGTTTATTGGAGGAAGGGCGCCTCTGACATGCTCAGGGATCTGGACGCGTCGAAGTTCCTTCACGATCAACTCCAGGGAGCATTCAGCGTTCGAGATTCTCCGGTGTGGATGGATTCAAGCACCGAGGTCCAAGTGCCGAAACCTCGAGACGGCCGTCGGCGGAGCGCAGTGTCTCGCCGACATCACCGGATCGCGTGCGTTTGAGCGCTTCACGGGCAACCAAATTGCCAAGATTTGGCAGACGAAACGTGACGCGTACGCCAACACCGAACGCATCTCCCTGGTGAGCAGTTTCGGCGCAACGTTATTCCTGGGGCGCTACGCACCGATTGACTTTAGCGACGGTTCTGGCATGAACTTGCTGAATATACGTACCCACCGCTGGGATCGCGCATGTCTCGATGCCTGCGCTCCAGATTTGGAAGCCAAGCTCGGCGAGCCCGTAGCGTCTCACGAAGTGCTCGGCACTGTTGCACCTTATTTCGTGGATCGCTACGGGTTCCCACCCGACTGTTCTGTGGTTCGCATTCACGGGGGACAACCCGGCGTCGTTGGCAGGGCTCCGTCTCCGGGGCGGCGACCTTCTGGTCAGCCTTGGGACCAGCGATACCGTGCTGATGTGGCTGAGCGAGGCCAAGCCAGCCCTTGAAGGCCACGTCATGGTGAATCCCGTCGCGAGTGACGCTTTTATGGGAATGTTGTGCTATAAAAATGGCTCGCTGACCCGCCAAAGAGTGAGGGACCACTGTGCCGGAGGCTCCTGGGACATATTCGCATCTCTCATCGACAGCACACCTCGCGGTAACTTCGGAAACATCGGCATGTATTTTGACTTGAAAGAGATCCTTCCACCAGTGGTAGGTGACTTTAAGTTCAACAAGAGCAACGAGAGGGTTGCAAAGTTTTCCCAGGAAGTCGAAGCGAGGGCTGTTGTCGAAGGCCAATTTCTTGCTAAACGTGTTCATGCAGAACGCCTTGGGTTCACTACTGGTGGCAGAGTGCTGGCCACTGGTGGTGCCTCCAAAAATCCTGGAATCGTTCAGGTGTTGGCTGATGTGTTCGGTGCCTCAGTGTATACACTTGGGAAAGCTTCTGCAAATGCGGCATGTCTTGGTGCAGCCTATCTGGCTCTCTTTGGTTCATACAAGAAAGCGGAGCCTGGACTGTCGTTCGATAATGTGATCAGTGAAGCAGAACCATTCCATTTGGCAGCTAAGCCAAGTGCAGATGCAGCATCTGTCTATGGTCCGATGGCAGAACGCTATCGTACACTTGAGCATAAGGTAGTTTCACTGCAAGTGCAAAGCACTTCTTAATAGCTTTCACTCGATGCCGTGCCTTGAAATATAATTTTCTTTATTTTTGTTGGTGGCTGGGTCCAAATAAGCGTTAGCATTCTGTGTGCAGTTTGCTACGGGTAATGCAATCTAGCTAGTGTAAGATTTGTGCAATAGAACAGGTTAACCATGTGCTTACATTGTGCATTATCGAATTTACTTCCTTTTTGGTGTGACATTTGTCACAAACTCGCGTAGTTATGCACACTGCTACTGCAAAGTTGTGAGTCGAGCCTATAAATGCTCTTTTAGCCTCTGCCAGGGTACTATTTATTTCATTATGTTCATCTTGTCACAGCTGTGCTTACTGTATGCAGTGTTCATATCGAAGGTGTCTTATCGGGCTATGGTGCAATGGAGCGTTAGTGAATTCTTTACACGTGTTGATTCCTTTTTAATACACCTGTGATATTTAACATTCGTTTCTCGAGACATTATACAGTCTCATTTTTTGACAATATGCTGGCTAAATGCTTCAGGCTTGCCAATAAAGCATTCTTGGATATTTTACAGCTGCTTTTGGATTCCGTGTGAATGCTTACAGAGGGGTCTAAGCATGGAGAAATAAAAGGAAAGGAAGGAGAATCAAATCACACGAGTAAAGCCTATAATGTTGGCCCAACGCGTGATCAAAACGTCGCAACATGCGTCGGGTCTTGGTACTCTCAGTGGTGTTCCATTTTTTAATTGCTTGCATGAGCTGGTCGGTCTGCTACAAACAAGTGTGTTTCGATTAAAAGCTACCAGGTGCCGCACCCCAAACTCTCGGCAAGCGTTGCTGCTTGTGGGATCGCGCTGCAAAAGGTCGTATGTTGGGCCGACACAGCTGGCTTCAAAACAGGGTGGCTCGCCAAGGCTGGCTGCATGGTGTAATAATGCTCCATCCTTTCTTTTTCTTCTTCCGTGGGTCTAAGCCACATGAACAACCTGCTGTCCTTCATTTTCACTTAAACACACAGGTTAGTACCACTGTGTCTAAAACCAAAAATCCTAATTTGGCTATTGTGGTGAGGAAATTTGATATTTGTGAGTAAGAACTACGAATATTCTGCTCTTTATTTTTGGTTCACAACATATATATATATACACACCTTTGTGGTGAGAAGTGTGTGACTATGCATCACTTAAGGAACCCCAATTTTCGTACAGGCTGTTTCACTTGATGGCACGGATTAAGTCCTATGTGTTACAGTGGCATGACAGGTAAAGACGGTTCACAAGAAATTGGTGTCTGACATGCAGAAATTGAAAAACATGCATACGAAACAGATGCGGCACACTACATAAAAGTGCGACCTAAAACACTATTGAGCCCACTTGCTGTAATGCATCCGTAGTTGTTACCATGGCAAAGCATAAAAAGATACTCTGAAGCGGAAGTATAGCCAAATTTGTTTGAAGCAGTATCTAATGTAGTCTATTCACTAGTTTGAAATGCTTTTTTTAACAATTATCTACTGGCTAAGAACTTAGCTTGCTGATAAGAACAACAATACTGTGGTTAGCCATCTGTTGGCTAAACACAACATTTTACCCCAGCCTAAAATTGGATCTTGGGACTGCGCTGGCTTATGTTGAGACCTGTGCACATACATTAGCTCATTTTCTTGTTTGTGCCATGGATGCTACATGTTTCTTCAAAAAGAATGAAAACGGAATAAAAGTAAAAAAAAAGTAAAGCTGTTGGCCTTGCATCTCGTGAAACAATATTTTATGGATGCCTAGTTAATTCTTTGACTAGGCGTCTGCTTTTGGTACATCCCATTCACCGCTGTCCTCTGATGTAGAAGGCAAATGCATTCAGGGCTTTAGTGTAGGAAGCCTGCTTGCTGTGACGTTGCTTTCAACAGTGAATGTGCAGTAGGGTATTTCATCTGTTCAGTAGCTGCACAATGGTTGCCTTTCCAGCTGTGTAATATTTGTAGTGAAAAGCTATGTAAGGTGTGTGTTTGGCAAAAAGTTGGATTGCTAATGTCTAAAAACAGGCCGGTTGTCACCAATGTGAAGACTTGCTAGAAGATCTCTTAGAACTTGTACATATTTTATAATCGAGGCTGGCATTACCTGGGAGGATCATATTAATTATGATGGCTCATTCATATCCCTCATAATGTTTCATATTATCCGTAAGAAACTGTATCTATCCTGCTGATGTGTGAATGCATTTTTAAACTCGAGCCGTTTCAGCAATGCTTATCTGAATGTTGGGAGCAATCTTTTTTATCTCTGAACATTTACACAGTGCAAAATGGTACAATAGACTTCACTAAAATAAGTAAAAGAAAAATGAGTTTTGTTTGTGCATAGTGCTATTTAAGCAAATGACAATTTTAGAAGCATTTAGTTACCATAAGAAGTTTAAGACACCCCCATTTCCATTTGTTCGTCTTGAAGTTACTAGTGACCATTCCTGGATGCAAACAGCACAAATTTCAAACAAAAAGTATTTCGTGCAGTTTCAACATGATAGCATTTTTCTTCATAGCACAACCTTTCGTTAAGAGCAAAAGTTATTTGAGACAACAACAAGGGCAGTTTTTGGCACCGTACTTGTCCGTCATCACCAGCCATAACTGCTATTGCTCGAGTGAAAAAACTAAATAAGAAAAAATATTAATTATAGCATGGGGTTCAAACCGTGGGCCCTCTCAGTGGCAGCCCAGTATTCTACCACATAGCCATGCCAGTGATCAAAAGTCCTTGGCCGAGAGACCCTATACAGGCATTATGTCGGGAAGGAATTGCGTTAACATGCGTAATATAGCGTGGTAGATGTGTAAAATAACAACTGATTGTCACATAATGCTAATGTTATAACCTGGTCTCGCACAATACAAATTGTATAATGAATGGGTTGTTGAATGCTTCCTACCCACTACAAAGGGCTCAGCCAGAATTCTTCGTCATCAGCCACCGAATCAACAAAGGGCACGTAATGCCTTGGAAATAATGTCTATAGTGGCTGCATCCCAACTTGACAGAAAATATTTATAGCGTAGTGGGTAGCTTGCAAGCGTGCTTTCATCAGTAGCCCCAAGAGAGTTAATGATCATTTCTAGAGACGCAGTTCTTCAAGCCTTTGACTGTGCTGCACTTTCCATGCAGGCCTGGTGCTTATTATTATTATTATTATTATTATTATTATTATTATTATTATTATTATTATTATTATTATTATTATTATTGTTGCATCCACACCTGTAGCGATTCAGCTTGTCACTTTTGCATGCCACAAATAAGGTACAGTAATGACCAGACCTATTTCCTTCGTGGACATTGCTGCGAAAAGCACTTGACGGAATAATTCAGCCAGTCTCATATGCTTTCCATGCTCTCAGTCCCCTTTCTACGTTTCTCTCTGTCAAATGCAAATACAGTTTGTAGCTTGGTTCACTAGAACTTTCCACAAACACAAGATAGTGAAACTGTTTGGAGCCCTCCACTACAGTGTCTCTTATAATCATATCGTGCTTTTGGGGCGAAATACCTCAATCATTATTATTATTATTATTATTATTATTATTATTATTATTATTATTATTATTATTATTATTATTATTATTATTATTGTTAGAACTTTCCACGACATTGACTGGGCTGTTAATTGTACATGACAAGTGTGATTCATTTTTAATTTTTTATAGCGCATTTAAGTATCACTGTTGCAATAAGTGGTTGTATGTTGTATTTATTTATTTATTTATTTATTTATTTATTAGAATACCCTCAGGGCCCGTAGGGCATTACAGAGGGGGTGGGTACAACATATATAACACACAAGAAAAAAAGACAAAATAAAGAAACAAGTATCAGATGCGCAAATCAGGAAGGCAACATAAGTCAACTAAAAATGTATAAGAATTCAAGCACATACAAGACAAAGATAGATAGTGGAAACTGCGTATAGTTACAAGCATTGCTGAGAAATTGCAGTCTTGAATAACAAAGGGTCTGTTATTGATACAACGGAAGTATGTGAATGAATAGTTGAAATATTGCGTGCCATTGTCTTTGTCAGCATTGCTGCAGTAAAAATGTTTGGCTATTTTTACCAGAATTATGTAACTGTTAAGGAAAGTTCTCAGTGCGCACACAAAAATGACTTGATGGATGTATTCATTGTGTGCATGCTGAAAACTTTCCATAATGCATTACTACCAATTATATCCAGTTTTACATACTTTTACATCATTATTAGCTTAATGGCACAACAGAAGTTTCTAAGTACTGCTTTGGTACATAGGGTTTTCTTCTACTTCACCTATAGAGCATTTCTTCTCACAACACCTTCATCTTTCATGCCTGGAGAGAATCAAACACTGGCATTCAATGTCTTCAATGCACCGAGAAGTGGTCATGTCACACTCAGCCTTGTGGCAACACCTGGTGGTGTTTTGTCCAACGTTTCCATACGAACCAATGGAGGTAGGCATACCAATTCTACAATCGTAATGCATCTCCTAAAGTCTTGTTGAATGCGTCTTTAGAACTTCAACATACTTTGTGGAATACGGCCTTGAGTGTGGGAGCAGAATAGATAACTATGGCGATCCTATTGCCTACACTTGCAACCATCAGGGTTACTCATAACTTCTGATACTGCGTGCGAAGCTGCAGTTTAGGCACAAACTTGTAATTGCACGTGCAGAGTTTAGTCGTCCAGTAAAATAAATCTGAATGTGAAAAACGTGCCATCCAAAAATGTTTACATAGAAAATAATGTATGAAATCTAATACATTAAGCTATGCATACATTGAAATTGAAAAAAAAAAAAACTGAAGTGTATCTAATTTCATACAATCACCCACAAACATCCAACACTTTTTAGCTAATCAATCAACTAAAAACAGGAACATTTATAGGGAAGAATGGAGGTCGAGGAAAAAACTGTCCGATGACAGCTTCACAGAGCCTCAGCCCCCCACTGGCACTAAACAACAGAGTACAGCACCTGATGTCAAAAAAAAAAGTAATAAATAACCTTGCGACTGGACTGTATTGCTTCATGGATGTCTTAAGATAAAATTTTCTGAATCTGCAAAGTGTAGCTCATTTTACAGTTATCAGAGAAGACATGCTTTCTTCGTCCTTTTGTGGTCATGCGTATGATAGAATATACATACGAGGATTGATTAGGAGAAAGAGTTGTTCTAAGGGGTCGATATGTCACCTCTTGTTATGGCCTGGAGGATCTTGTATTCTTTTCTGCTTGACCACACTGACCGCTACTTCTGTTTGCACGTGTACAATGCTGCCTTGTACATTGTGGTTGTACCTCGTGCAACCTTGTGGCACAACCTTTGAGGCGTTTCTTTTTTTCTAAGAGAGCGAAATGCACTTTAAATGAAACTGGGGAAAATGCACTTTTTCTGTACTGACAATATGGTTTGGCCTGCTCAAAGAACTTTTTGCTAGTATGTTCCTCTCCCATAAGAAACGCAAATCTATATTGTTGCTAAAATCTACATGGCTAAATATCGTCAGTATTGTGGAGTAAAGTTTGTATTTGGCTCATATAGATTGAAACATTTCTTTAGGACATGAATTAGCTAGTAAAATAAGTGTAAAATGGTTCGAATGTACAGTACAGCAATATTTTACGATGGAATTGACATCATACTTGTGCTTCTGTCCGTGCCATGCTTCGACGCATGGGTGTAATGGCGATTATTAGACTTGAAAAGTGAGTGGTTCTTCCTGGAAAAGGTGTACTATTCTGGACTGTGATCAATGTTTTCTTGTTAATGGCATCTATGGGAGGCCTTAAAAAGTGTTCCAGTTAGTTTTATGCCATGCCATTTCTGACCGCTTCTTCTTCTTTAAGGAATAGATAGATGACCAATATCTTTATTTCATGTCTATTTTATTAAAAATTTACTGTGTTGAAGTGAACGAAGAACAAGATACTGTTGAGCTAAAGTTGAAAAGAATCACTAAAGTGCAAAAAGAAGCAGGCAGGTGAGCCTCTTATTCTTCACAATCAAGTTTTGTCATTGAACATCATGTTTTTCAGTAATTGCCAACTCACACTAGACAACCTGATTGTGGAACGTAAACATGATAACAAAGCAACTAAGACACAAATGAAACATTTTGGAAGAAACAATGCTGGTTTTGGTCATGTTTGTTGGCGCAGTGATACTTACTTGAACGTGGCTCACATTGATTGAAACAGTTGGAATACTTGGCTCACTTTTTATTAGAAACTGCCTTCTTGAGCTCATTTTACAACAATAAATCGCCCCATTTTGATTATAACTGTTCTAGGAATTGAAGATACTTAGGCAGGATTTGCGTTCCAGTGAAATTTAGCCTAGTTTCGCTTTCTGCATTTAACTCTTTTAGAAACAAAAATGCCTCTGGTACAGTACCTTGTGGTTGGCCATGACATCTATGCAACATGGCAAACAGCTTTTAAGATTGCCTGCATGCATGCCCTCTTGTTGCATAGTTGAATTAATTGCTTGCTGTGCAGTTTGGATAACATTGTGATGGAGAGAGCAAGCAAATTGTGGGTGTTTTTTTACATGCAATTGTAAATTTTCTGCTGCATGCAGCTCAATAATATTTATACTGAATGGTAACTGGTGCCTGTACTTCAAAGTTGAAGTATTTCGTTACTACATTCAAAAGGTGGTTTAGTTTTTCTATGACGTACTTGCACAAATCGGGAGTCAATGAGCGCAGTTATTTTTTGCAGAGTCACCTGAAGTAATCACATTACCAGTTCCCAAGGATCTGCCTTTCAACACAGTGCTCCAAGTGTCAGGGAAATTCGGCAGCTATTCTTTTGAGAAAACAGTGCCTGCATCGTTAAGAAAACCGACAAGAAGCTTGTCACCATTATCCAGACTGATAAGCCCATCTACAAGGCCGGGGAAATGGGTAAGTCCTTCAAACCAAAACATTTAGTGGTTTGTTTATTATGGCTATGTGATATTATTTGTCATTGGTAAGCACAAGTATGCAGTAAACCTCTAACTAAAATATTTTACTGAGAATGAGACCGCATAAAATTGAAACAACTGTTGATGTGTGAGACCATCATTATATGACTGCTGTTATGCCTCGGTAATGTAGTTGTGGAGCAGGAACTTGGTCTTAAAATGTATTTTTTTTTTTTACAAGTAATCCTGTTTCAATGAATTAATGCCTAGTTTTAACATATATGTAAAGTGTAGTCACTCACAGTTCCTTCTGAAGCAGTGAATCACTGCAGTGCGAATCGAATTGGTTCAGTAGCAGCAATACTTAAGATACAAAGCATGCCCATACGTGGCATGTGTGTCCTTAAAGCGTCCTACTGACTTGAATATTGCATGCCCAAAAGGCATGAAAATTCAGCTTTTCTCTCAAAATTTGTTGTCCGTTAACTCTGAACACAAACTGTACTAGCCCAGCACCACCTAAAGGCTGCTGCGATAATCCTGATGACATCGCTTATGCTGGTTTTAGCTTGTCTTTAGGGAGCGTCAGTTAGGTGAGCATGAAATTTAAATGGCATAGTTAAGTGAGCTTTGTTTGCAGTTCGATTTCGTGTCCTTGGAATTGACTTCAGGAAGCTTCCACTCGCAGAGCATGTGAGTATAGGGCCGGCATCACTTAGCAACTATTAATTACACATCTCAGCGAAGTGTCAAGATACATCTCTCTGTACCTCACTTTCTTGCGATTAGGTTGGTCGAATCTGGATCGAGAACCCAATGCACTTCAAAATTTCCCAGTGGCACAATGTGTCATTGTCAGCAGGTATGTAAATCACTGTTTTTTTTTCCTTATTTTCTAACTACTATGACATTTTTGCGAATCTTTTCTTTCTGTTTGCTTCGTCTGTCATGCTGCTTTAAGAAGGAAAGAAGTGGTAATTTAAGGGCTTGTTTTTCCTTGTTAGATGCAGTATTAATGGAAACTAACAGACAATCATGCCAAGAAAGTATAGGGTGCTTTATTTTTAACTATTATGACATAAACGGGAAGAAAGTAAAGTAGACGAAAAGATTATTTGCTGCTTGGAAGGAACCGAATCTGTGACCTTCAAATAACGCATCTGATGCTCTACGAACTCTGTGCTAACGCAATGCAAGACATAACCATAAGGGTCGTGACCTTCGGCTGATATGGAAATATTTTGCCTTTTTTGTAAATAGTTACATGCAACTAAATTTTCAAAGACATGTCAGGATGTTGACAGTGTTATCATTACTTGTGTAAAAAGTAACTCTGTTATAGCTACAAGTTACCTAGCAAGATAGAGTGCAATACAGAGTTACTTGACTGAGCTTGCATTACTTCCGCATTTTATTTTCGGTAGTTAGGGCAACTAGAGTAAGGCTTTTGAGATTGTAGGAGATGAGTTGATCTGTAGCAATCGAATTCAGTGACTGTATTCACGCTTGTCCACATCCACAGGTATCGTACAGCTGGAAAAACAACTCTCCCATGAGCCTCAGCTGGGGGAGTGGTCCGTCTGCTGCCAAATCTTTGACCATACGACTTGCCAGACATTCCAAGTGGGCAGTTATGGTTTGTCCTCTTGGTGCTATTGTTGATACTGTCGCTATTACGATAGGGCTGATAATATCTCCTCTAAAATGCAGCACAACAAACCACCAAGTTATTTAAGTTTTCTGTTTTGTGCCAGTCTATAATGACACTTATTCACAAAGCTTTGTACAATAGTAATCGTACATGGTTTGTTTAATTGCATGCTATTCTTTTTTTGTTGTTTCATCAATAGTATATCTGGCTTAGACTGACTATGAGCACTGTTCCTGCCTGCGTGCAAAGTTCCTGTCTGCGGTGGGGATGATTGCTGGCACTGTCAGATGGAACAGGATATGAACACTTGTTACGTACTATTCAATGAGTAGATAATGCGGCGTGAACGCAACTAATGCTGAAGTGCAACATAGCCTTAATAGCAAATAGGACTTATCTCTCGTCACTATATTGCTTTGAAATAACTGACAATGTATTTGTTTTTGTTGTTTTTTGCATAAAGCATGAAACTAAGCTCTGTTGAGTGTGTATAAAAGGCACCAGTCTCATTTTTATCTTGGCATTACAACAGAAACTTGAACTGTACAATATCACTGCATTTTTTTCTTCTCTGAGACTTCTCAGTCCATGTCATGTCATTGTACTACTTAACACATCCTGTAATATTAAATCATGTCTACATTGGAATGATATGCCTCTTGAATAGACTCTATATTTATAGGAAACTGGTACTCACCTCAAAGTCACTGCACTTTGTTGTTCTTGTTAATATTAAATGGCTGATTGGTAATTCTCTAGAATTTAAGCTGAGTAGTATTTCTTCTAGGTATGTTAGTTAGGGAATGAGTAAAAAATCTTGACATGCTGTAACTACCATCTACAATATTCCTTTTACTTTTATTTAGTGCACCTTAAGTTCTTTTTTTTTTTAATAATTGAGCAAATTGTTGTTTAGGCTCAATGCTGTTCATTCCAAAATTGGCTCACATAATATAAAAATGCATAGTTGGTTTATACTAGAGTATTGTACAAAGTATTGCTACATGCTTTCATGTTGTTTCTTTACATTCCTGTAGCATTGCCCAAGTTTTCTGTTGATATCAGTGCACCACCATACATTTTCCCTGAGGAGTCCAATAGCACATGGAAAATATGTGCGAGGTATGACTTCTGTTTCTGTTTCTTACATTCCTGATTTCATAGAGCTGCACGTATATAAATACATGTTCCATGACTTAGATGTGTCTTTGTACAGGTATCTTTATGGCAAGCCCGTGCACGGTCATCTCAGAGCTCAGCTGACATACAAACGCTTTCCGTGGACTTCCGAGTTAAAAAAGGTGTTGCCCAGTGTTGACATAGATGTACCGGTAGGTGCTTTCTTTGATTCCAACAAGGGCTGCAAGATGGTTAAAGTTTAGAGATCACCACTTAACCCAATATTTCAGTCTTTAATTGCAGCTTTCTTTTAGTCTACCTAATTTATTAGCTAGTAAAACGGCCACGAGAACCTCGTGAGTGTGATATGTTGTCATGTTCTTATGTGACACTCATGTCATGATTATCTTGTTTGCACCAGTCACTTACTTTCGTCATTCATTCACGTCCCGTAATACCAATTTCGGTATATGTGAAGATAGCGAAACGGCCGCGGGCACATCATGAGTGTGGCATGTAGTCATGTTGTTACATAACACGCATCTCATGATTATCATGTTTGAACCAGTCACATATCTTTGTCATCCATTCACGTCCCGTAATACAAAATTTGGTATATGCGAAGCTCGTCAAACGGCTGCGAACGCATCACGAATGTGGCATGTAGTTATTTTGTTACATGACATGCATGTCATGACTTTTAATGTTGGGGTTTGTCACTTGTGTTCGCCATGCAGTCATGTCATACCATACCAGTTTTGCAAAATGTCATGTGAATGAAACCACTGCAAGAGCAGCAGTACCATGAAATGTAAATCATGACATGTGTGTCTTGATTTTCATGTTATGACTAGTCACTTATGCTCGTCATATGGTCCTGTTGTGCCATACAAATTTTGGTATCGATACCATTATCAAAACGGCCAGGAGAGCTAAAAGTCGTAGGCAGCTAGGTATACAGACAGACAGACAAATATGCTCAAAGTCGCCGAAGTTTGTTAATAAATGCTTCGCAATTAATATGCTGATTGATCCCAGCGTCACTAACACACTGATGTTGCTGTTAAAATGGGGTCCTAATTTATAGTGCACAATCTTTCACACGTGGTATGCAGTTGTGTAAATGTTCTGAAAAAGAAAACATTGTCTAAATTTGCCCTACTTGCCCCACAACAGCTGCAGATGACTCCTTTGCGATAGTTCAGCCAGTATTCTGTTTAGTCCTTTTTCATAATGTGCATTATGGGGCTGAATAGTTTTTTTGCATATAGCTAATTGATATAAAATGAAATATCTATTGCAGAGAGAAGCAGTTTGTGTCACCATGTTTACACTCTGCCCTCGTCTTTTCTTTAAGTGTAGATTAGAGGTTGCCATGAGTTTGAGGTCAATGGCAACCATCTCCTCTTTGCCAATAGGGACATCAATCGTCGTCCTCTCATTCTTACAGCGGAGGTTGCGGACAGCGCTACAGGTGAGTTAGCTGTCGTGACTCTAAGGGAAATGAACAGTGCAAAAGATGGATATGCATTGTATGTTCCTTAAATACAATCAAACAGTGCAAAAAGTGAAATGTTTTATGTACATATATTGTGTCTGAACTGTTCTCTACATTTGTTCTTTATGATGTTCTATTCTCTTTTTTATTGACTAACTAACCTGGTTCAGCACACAGCAGCAGGTAGTGGTATTGAATGGTTCATCCAGTAGCTATAGGCTGGAAAAAATACCGCCGGAAAATGAAGGCAAGAGTGCATGGCCAATATTATTTTAGCATCTTTCCTGTGTACGCTTTGCTTTCCTTTTTTATGTGTGTTTTTTTTACCTTACTTTTACCTAATGTCAAGATGGGATCCTAAATGAGATGTGCCTCAATAACAGTGTAAACAGTAGGCTTGTGCAAATAGTGAATTTTAGGTTCTAAGCGAATTTGAAGCAAATAATGATTTTGGTCGAATAATTTCTAATTGAATTTAAATAGTATATATATTGCATATTATAAAGAAAATGGACATATCTGTTATGGTCTAACTAACCTGCACAATATTTTCTAAGTATTGAGACAAGGTCTGTGCAAATTCCATTTTTTCGCATAGAAGAAAGTGGAAACAACTTTGAATAGTAGCAGCATTTGACTTTTGTTAGAATGCAAGTCATAGCCTGTAAAATATGTTACGTCTTAAACTTTGTTATACTTAGAGTATATAGGCCAATATAACAAGCTTTTACATTTAAAAGAAAATGAATCGATGTGAAGGTAATAGGCTCATAGAACCTTGAAGTAAGGCTTCGTGGCAGTGTGGAGTTTCCTTGGATATCTGTTTTCATGGCTTCACACTACTTGATTGCAGTGAAACCCCTTTTACAAAAGTTTTAATGCAAACTAATAAACCTTTAGACAAGTTATTTCACGGCTTAGCACACCTTTACTGCTGTAAAATTACATTTACAGGATGTTACATTTGAATATTTGAAGCATTCAAACATTTGCACGTGCCCGATAAACAGGTATAAGGGACCTCAGACAGGCTGGCCAATGTTTTGATTGGCAGTCCTCTCTTTGTAATGTTAATTTTGGGTCATCATTATTTTGTGTTGCTGTCGGTACCTGTAATCTACAAGAGAGGGAACAGGAAAGGAAACAAGTACTTGCATTTTACACCTGCTTACAGTTGCGTGTTAACTTGCCCGGCAAGTTACCTTTGTAGACACACCGTCAATTGTTAGCAATGTACTGCTTACTGTATACATATTACACAAATGCATTATTTTCATTGAAGCCCATTATGAATCATTATTGCGTAGGTTGTTGTAGACTTTTAAGCATACTTTTTAATACTGCCCAGTTCTAATTAGTCTGGCAGAACTGGCCGTTAAAGTTTAATTTGTATGTAGTGATATCACTGGCTATTTTCAATTCAAGCAACTGTTGAGTTCTGAGTAATTACTTTTTATGTCTCAAATGTTCTTTAACTGCCCAGAGTTGATGCACTGATAAACGGTACTGACATGCACACCATCTTGTCTTTTTTTTTTTTATTATTTCTGAAGCATGAAATCCTTTATTTCGAGTGGTGTATGTTAGACTCATGCTCTTCACTTGTACGTACAAGTACGTACATGTAGTTCTTCAATGTATGCATTGTTTACATTTGCAATTTAAGCTCTTTTGTTCTTGTTGTTGCTTTCTCTTTTGATTGTACAGGAGAGGCAGTGTCTGCCAACATCACAAAAGAGTTTGTCTGGTCACCATTCACGTTGGGCTTTGTCACAAAGCGCTCCGTACCTAACTTCAAGCCTGGGCTAGTCTACAGGGGACTGGTGAGAGCACAACTTTGAAAGTTTTGTAACACTTGTAAATGCTGTAATGACATGCTGCTTTAAAATATCAGTTTCACAGCAAAGGCAAAGCAGAGAATGTGACAGCAACAAATTGTAATGTTCTATAAAGTAAGGTTGGCAGCTAACCCTTTTATATACGGTTTTGCGTCTACAAAACCCTGTTGTAAGAGAATATGGCTGCTCCGAGGATTGAAGTGGACTCTGCATGGTCTTTTCATGTTGAAAGACGTCTGTTGAAGCCTGCCGAGATAGTGTCTCTGCCAGAAATCGCGACTGCACCCATAGAATCAAAGTTCACAGTTGCTGCTTGAGTGACACCCCCTTCGCGTTCTTTCACGCTTATTCAAGACGGACAGAGCATTTCCTCTCTGCTTAAGCATTTAATAGCAGATCTAACATGTCTAACATGCAAGGGAATGTTATTGCATGTGCCGTTTGAGCAAGAGAGATGGGCCGGCTCATCTGACTGCTTCAGAAGTATTCTGCGCTTCTGCTCACACGCTTTTACCTGAGACTAGAACATACAATGCGCAGGGGCAATGTTATCGATTCTTTAGTTTATGCGGAACATAACGAAGGCACCAGAATCCCATAGAGAGTGTCCACATAACTGCTATCACTATAAAGGTCTCTCTCTACATTGAATAAGATTGTAGTACAAGCTCATCCAATGTGTTGACTGCGTGGCTAATTTTGCAAGTAGCTAAAATGCCATATCATTAGCCTCGCATACATTTTCTAAAAAGGATTGAGTGATAATGCCATCACCTTGTAAGGGTGCATTGGAGGTGTGTTGGTTTATACTAATGAATGCACATATATACTATGCAGATAGTCTCATCAGATACCTAGCTGCACTCTTTCATGTTTTGATTCACATTTGAGAAGAGTTGTGCTCCACATTTACAATGGATACAATATAAGAAAGCAGTTAAAGTGCTGCATAGAGGAGACATGACCACTTAGGTTTGTGGGCTTACAAAAAAAAAAAAGAGAGAGAGACTGGTTTGATTTTACCATTCTCTGTATGGGGGATGTGGTCAGCAGAATTGCTTTTTCACAGTCACTATCATACTTTTCTTGCTTTCCACTATCAAGGGCCGCCAAACGATAAGCACTAAAGTCTTTTTACAGGGCTTTTGTGCTTTTTGAAGTAAATGAAAGAGTGAGTTCGAAGTGAAGATCTGGTAGAAATGCAGCCTTGCAGGAAAGCCTGCTGTTCAAATATAGCAGTCAGTCAATTGTCAAAGTAAACCTAATTTTTAAAATTGAAATCAACAGCTCAATCTCAGCATCTATTGGTGAAAACTGAATAACCTTATCACTAGTTGTATGCTTGTTGAATAGCTGAAAATTTCTTTGACTGTGGCAGAGTTTTGTAGTATCATGTTTTGTTGAATGTTGTGTTATATCTGCATGATCACGGCACGCAAAATCTTCTTGACACAGACCGACAGAGAAAACAGCAGTCGGTTTATGTCAAGAAGTTTTCGTGTGCCAGGATGATACAGATATTCATAACCAAGTAGACCACCAGTTCGTCCTGAGCAAGTTTATATTGTGTTGTGGTTGCAGGTTCAGGCGACGTATCCCGATGGCACACCTGCCTCCGAAAAGCGAGTCAGTGTCTGCTTCTCTGCGTCATCACTGCCAACGGTTCGGTGCAGTGCACGCAGAAAACCACAATGCCAGCGTGTGTCATCCACAGATGATGTTGCGACAGGGTGCCGAGACTACGAAACAGATGCCCAAGGGCAAGCTCACTTCTCTGTTCCTGGAATGCGTGGTACCCTGAATAGTCTTTCACTAACTGTGAGTGCTCGTTTATACTTCTTTTTTTCCAACTGCAAGAAAACTGTTGCTTTCTTGTTTTTAAGATTTTTTGATTTTGTTGCACGTAATAGCCTAAAGCAATGTGACTTAATAACTGGCACTTGCGAAGTGTTTGTTAAAAAAAAACATTTGGCCAATCTCTCTCCAAAGTAACACATAATTCAGAATAAAAAATATCCAAAGCCCATCTCAGCTTCTTCATATTTTTTGATTGCCCTCTTGCATGGCTTGCATGGAAGCATTTGAACCAAGCTCAGTTAAGGCTAGTGTAGCTGTCTAAGCTTTGACTGCCAAAGATTTGGAGAGCTGTTTAAAACATAAAGATATGTGATGCGTAAAATAAAATCAAAAACTGAAAGAGAAGGCATCCTCTTATTTGTGTAGGAAAATGGAAGGCAGCTGTCAGAAGTTAAAACAAAAAAAAAAAGTGAAAAATGGAGCAGTCATGTTCATGGTGCACTTTTGATGCATTATAGTCTACAGTAGCAGCCTAAAGACATTGATGCAAAAACGCAATAAGAGACATGCTCTAAATCCTGTTCTGGCTTTGGGTGGTTTGTCCTGCATATTTATTTGCTGCACATCGGTTCTTGGCATGTCTGGAAAGTATGTATCAATAGCTGTACACACACAGTGGCTATTGGTTGTTGCGCTGTAACACAAAGGATATTGCAGTAATTTTCACAGCTACCTCCTTTCTTGTGCTAAAACGCAATAAGGTATTTGTGTATTACAATGGGTGCTGGTTCAATTCGTGGCCATTACAGCCGCATTTTGATGGCTTCAGAATGCAAAAATGCGTGTGTAAGATGCATGTTAAAGAATGTCCATGTGGTAAAAACAATAGAGCCTTTCTCCCCCTTTTCTGTAGAATGTCACATTTTTGACAATTCTACAAGTAAGTAAATTACCCAATTAAAATTTTACAATGAAAGCTGTTATGAAATCACAAGAGTTGCGTGCTCCATAGTTGTTCGCCGCCGGTGTTTGTAATCACTATCGCACGAAATAAGAAAAGGCTAAGTAAATGAAAACACCAAGGACACAATGGGATTCGAACCCGGGTCTCCTGTGTGCCAGCCCAGTATTCTACTACAGCGCGATGCTGGTGCTTGAAACTTTGTTGCAAATTGGCCTTAGGCAGGCTTGATGTTGGGGAAGGAATATGTATGAGTAATAAAGCGTTTTAGAACAGCAAAGGAAGAACCAGGTGTTACGCAATGTAAATCACGTAGAGAGTGGGTCATCAAATGCTCCGACCCATTAAAAAGGCTTCAGGCATAATTCTTCATGTTCGTCAGCCACAGCATAAAAATATTGCACAAAATGTTATGCAAGTATATAGTGGGTAGCACGCTTCTCCGAAGAACAACGACGGATGGCATAGTGAATGCCTCTCCACTACAAAAAAATGATGATTTATAGCGTTGTGGGCACCCTGCAAGTGTGCTTGTAGCATTACCCGAAGAGTGTTTAAAGGGGCCCTGCAACACTTTTTGAGCATGGTCAGAAAACGCTGCCAATCGGTAGTAGAGGCTCCCGACAACACGCGAGCCAAATATTATAGCACAACATGCGGCCTGGAATTCACAATAAATTATCAAAGTCAGATAAAAATTGCTTTCTCTTCTCTCGACAAATCACAATCACACGGAGTGAGCCCATCTATCAGCCGTTGGCTGATTCGAACATGGCGCGCTCGCTCGTTACAGAGGTCGCCGCGGGAGGCCGCTACTTGTTCACGCGTGTGCGCGCGATCACACTGAAGAAGGTGCGCATTCGAAGAAAAAAAAAAGAAAAAGTGCTCAAGGTCGCGAAGTGCAGGTGACGTTTTTCTTTGCCCCTGCCACCCCTCCCTGCCTAGCTTCCAGCGCTTTCGTTGGGACGAGAGAAGAGAGCATGCAATTGCAGCATGTGAAAAACCTTTGCAACTTCACTCGCACTGGATGGATTCTCAAAATTTTTGTGGCATTGAATTTGTGAGGCAATGAGCTCTTTTAGTGAATTCATTCCATGGTTACTTGAAAAATTGTTTCAGGGCCCTTTTAACAAAACTCTGAAAGGCCACTTTTCCAGCTTTCGCTCTGACTGTGCTGCGCATTCTGCACAGGCCTGGCGTTTTTTTTTTTTTTAATGTAAAATTTGACAAAGAAACATAATAGATTTCAAAGAGAATTTCAAACTCTGCGGCATTTGATTTTTGCAGTTATTCAAAACAAATATGGTATTAAGCAGTGCCAAAGTATTAAGAAGCACAAATTATGACTTCTTATGTGTAAAGTTCACGCGTCTTCCTTATTTCACGTAGGCTACAGCTGATGGTGGAAAATGGAACAATCCTGTGTCACGAATGCACCTTCGAGCCTGGACGTCCATGTCGGGGCGCTATTTACACATATCAGTTCCATCAGAAAAGCTTGAGTGCAGCAGAAGTACTACCATTTTATTTTATCATACAAAGCTCAGAAACCATCCTGAAGGAGTTACCTTATATTATCAGGTGAGTGATACTAAGAGCAGCAGCAGTGTTTTATTAACCTAACACAAACCATGTGAATGTCTAAATTGCCACAGTTGTTTAATGAAACAGGGGGCTCATTTCTTTTTGTTAGACACTACCTAATGAAACCTAAGGAAGGTAGAGGAGACATAATTTCTATGCCTTTAACTGTGCTAAAGTAATTACGACATGAATGGAAGGGAAATAAAGTGGATGAGGAATCAACTTGGTTTGTTTGGGCGGGTTGATTTATTGCCCACCTGTGTTGAGTTGAGTTTTCACTGCTTCAATTCCTTTTCCTTTATGACATAATTACTATACCACCATAGTCGTCGGCAGGACTTTCTCTTGGGGGCTGCAAACCGGTGTTGCATTGCGGCTGGGGGAGGCGGAGAGCTCTGGTGTAGCTCGGGTGAGGGCAAGTGCTGGTGAGGCTTTAGGGGAGTAACTGCTCCTTTTGCACCCCCTTGCCGACATCCATGCATACTACTGTTAAGGAACACACAAATAATGTGCCCTCTTCATTCCTTAACTTTACTCTCCACTGGTTGCATTAGGCTGTAGGTTAAAGGTGCACACATTCACATGCAGTGATGTGTAGGTGCAAAGTAATATGTGCATGCAGATCCACATAAATTTTATTGATACATAGTTCACAGCAGTTCATGCATGTACTGGTGGCATTGCCAATAATCCCTTCTTCATTTGTTAGAGGTTAACATTCTATTAGAATGAAGTTTTAGGGAGTGAAAGATGTGATCGAAGTTAACCCGCCAATGCACGTCCAAAATTAAAGCCAACTGTAGTGCTTATTTAAGGCTTCATTACGACCATTTAGATCACTATTCCGAGTTTTAACAGCGAAGCTGTTTAAGCCAGTTGTAAAAACTTTGGTAGAGTAAAATCTTTGTTAGTGTGTCCCACAACAAGTCTCACGATTCACTGCTGGTCCGCTAAATATGAAGAAGGCAACAGATGGGCGGAAAACAACTTTCAAGATTTCTAGACCGATGTAACCAGTAATTGAAGGAACCTTTAGGAAATTATCGAAATTCACCCAGTGATAAACACTCTGGCTGCACGTTCCAGCTTCGCTGAAGAATCCACACCGATTGCTTTAGGGGAGCACAGAACGAGGGAATAGTACGGTATGGGAAATGCAATGGCAGCGGCGAGAAGATGTTAAAGTAGTGTAAGCCCTGTGAAAACAACGACATGCCCGTAAATATATGATAGGTGTGAATGCTTGGTGTCGGCAGTAGTTTCTCTCCTTAGAGTTTGGACATCTGTGTTGTGTCTGTGGCTGTCTGTGATTTAACTCGAACCTGCCTGCGCAGAAAAGCAGCCTGAAAACAAGCTAGCATCACTCAGCTAAAGCCCAGCAACAACGTAGAAGCAACCAGATTTCACTTCAGAATCGTCCAGCTTCGCTGTTTCAGGCCTTGTACGACTTCGTGCAAGCTTTGGTATTTTTGTTGTTGTTTTTGTTGGTACTCATTCTAGATGAATTAAACAGTAACACTCGGAGCATAGTGTTTTATTGTATACAGAGAGTGTGGTGAATTATCCACATTAAAATTGTAGTTGCTGTCATTGAGTTCAATACTGAATTACACTTGCAGCATTGTGTGATCTCTATCTGTTGAAAGGTGGGCTCTTATGTCTCTTTACCATTAATTTTCAGTTACAATAAAATTTGGATCATGTAAGCATGCCAGTTTTAGACGACAGAGGTATTAGAGCAGCTTTCGTGTGAGATTGTGACACCAAAAATACGACTGGACAGCATCTATTAGATTATTCGACACGAAGTTTTGTAGTTCTTGGTCATTAATATGCTGTCGACATATTGTGCTCTTCAAGGTTGTCTCTGGACACCAAGTTGTGGACAAGGGCATACTGTCGCCAAGACGTTCATGGGATGACATAGCCTCCCGAATACCACTCGACTCTTCGTCTAGCAGCATGAGAGTGTCTGGATACTCTGTCTCCGAGTTTAATTTGACAGTGAAACCTAGCTGGGGTCTCTCACCCACTGCTCGTCTGATGGTGTACTATGCACACCCGAATGGAGAGGTCATTGCTGATGCAGTCCCACTGGAGGTCAAGCCGTGCAACTCAAATGAGGTGAGAGTTTTCCTGCTTACTGTTTCATGTTCTTTGTTTCCGGCATCCATTCTACACAATGTGCCACATAAAGTTATGATGAAACAGTATTTCGCAACAATAGTTTTGCTCAACAAGATGAATAAGTTTGTTACCCTTGCATCATTGACTAAATTTATTGGCCGTATTGCCAACGGCTCATTCAGGCTCAGGCAAGCCATAAGGATTGTGGTTTTTTGACGTTACAGCCTGCCCCAACCATTTTTGCTGAGTGACTTGCATATTGGTGACTTGCATGTAGGTATTTCTTAGTCTTGGCACAATGTCAGTTCTCTGAAAAGTACAGTACTGACGAATTGAAATGCAGAAACTTATGGCTTTATGATATATCTACTTTCATTTCTAGTCTGTACCGTTCGTGTTGTATCAGTGTAATTTTGAATTACACTTGCATCATGCAGAGCCATTATATTTAGTGGCCGAAATTGCAGCAACGTTACACAGTTATCATGAGAAATCGCATATAGCAGTCAGTATTATACTAAAGAAAACAATGTCATGTCTAATTTATGTGTGCTGTACTTGCTTTGGAGTCTGTCAGGCCACATGCGAGTCATCTGCGTACACTGGCCAGATATCTCATGTTTTACTAACAGGCTAGACTTTTGCATGCTAGTAAAATGAGATCATTGGTGATATTGTAGCAGATGGTTGCGTTGCCATAGTATATCATGTCTCTTCAGCAATCATCATTTCTTGTCATATTGTCTTGACAATATGACAATGAATGATGTGTATGGCATAGATTACACTCATAAAATGATCGTCATTTGAACTTGCAGGTGCTCCTGAATTTCGCTGAAAAGTCTGTTCAGCCTGGGATGCCAGCAACACTGAGTCTTTCGGCTGCTCAAGGCTCTGTGTGTGGCACATGGGCACTAGATCAGGCCCTGCTGCAGAAAGCAGCAAAGGCTGAGTTCACGCCTGAGAAGGTACAACACAGTACTAGGCTTGTGCGAATATTCGAATGCTTCAAATATTCTAACGAATAGTAAGGTATTAGAATTTGCTTCGATTCAAATTTAAATTATTGAAAATTTTGAAGTATTCGCAAGGAACGAATAGATGCATATTAATCCGAATGTACTGCTTGTTAAGATAGTTTCACTGTAGTTTAGTAGTGCTGAACCGTGAAAACACCTATTCAAGAGAATTCTCTCTGCTGTGAAGCCCCCCTACAAATTTAAGGGGCCCTGCAACACTTTTTGAGCATTGTCAGAAAACGGCTGCCGATCCGTAGTCGAGGCTACGGAGGACACACAAACCAAATACTATAGCGCGGCACACGGCAGGTGCGATTCACAATAAATTATCAAACTCAGCTGAAAATTGCTCTCTTTTCTCAGCAAATGACTCCTCAAGCTCGGAAAGCATGCGTGACGTATTTTCTTTCCCCATGCCGTCTCTTCCTGCTTAGCTTGCAGTGCTTTCATCGGTACGAAAGAGAGAATGCACTTACAGCGTGCGAGAAATTTTTGCAACTCCGCGTGTACTGGAGGAATTCTGAAAATTTTAGCGGCAGTGAATTCATGAGGCAATAAGCTTCTTTAGTGAATCCATTTCATGGCTACTTGAAAGTCGAGCGGCCCCATTAAATGAAAGTATTACCCTCAATCAATTCATTTTATTAAGCTTAGAAGCATGTTATGACAGCTTATATGCTCTAAGTATAATAAATTTCAAAATTTTACGTACTTTAAAACTTATGACTCGCATTTTGCTGAAAGTCAAATCTTGCTACTACTCAGTTTCAACTTCCTTTGAATGAAAAAAGAAATGGCATTTTCATAGAGGCCCTATTTCCATTAAAAAATATTTTGCAGGTTAATTAGGTCGTAATAAATATGCCCATTTTTTTATGTCTCATATATGCTATTTGAATTCGATTTGAAATTATTCGACCAAAATTACAATTCACTACAAATTTGTTTCGAATCTAAAATTCACTATTTGCACAACCCTACAGAGTACAAGTCTTCTGATTATTTGTAGTTATAACCAAAGCAATCTAACCAGCATACAGCCATGTTCTTTTACATATTATGTCAGCGCAGCATCATTGGTGTGCAGGATTGCCACTGGTGGCTACTTTTGTGCCGAATCGGCTACTTTTTGACCTGTCCGGCAACGAAAATTTCCAGTTGGTGTCATGGCTACTTATTGGCTACTTGTATATTTCAGGTTTTACTTATTCGAAATGGTTTTATTTATTCACCAATAGTAAAGACTGTTCATAACACCACACCTGTTCTATCTGGCTACAAATTTGGGGATAATATCAAATGACATGGCTGCTTTGGCTACATTTGGCCGGAGTTCTGGTGCCTTTTCAATTCTATCCAACGGCAACCCTGAGCGCACCACTGGTCATTAAGAGTAACAGACTCGATTCCAAGGGAAGGAAAGCCTGTGAAGGGAAGGCAGGAAGTCAGGGGGACAGTTGAGATTAAGAAATCTGTGAGGGTAATGTGGCACAGTCAAGCACAGCGCCGGATTGATTGGCAAAACGGGGGAAAGGCCTTTGCCCTGCAGTGGGTGCAATCAAGCTGATGATGATAATGATGATTATGAATGGTTTACCTGGTTTACTGTCTCACCTTTCACCTCCTTTCTCTCCATCTCACTCTTACTCTTAATGGTTTTTGTGAAGATTTTTGCTAATGTGGCCAGCTGACCCTGCAAAGCTTCTAGGAGATATATTGTACCACTTTTTTTATTTATGATGTAGTTTACCATAGAGGTTAATAATTATTTTACACTGCTAAATAAGTGCTGCAACATAGGCAATTAGAGCCTTTAAATTTTTTTGTTGAGTCTTTATTTAGATAATCTCATACAACCTCAACTTAAATGTATTATCTCGATAAGTGAGAGCCATTTTAAAAACTAGACAAATAAATAATTAATTAAAAAACACTTACTCGAGGACTCAAAACCCTCTTGAATTAATACTGCTAGTAGTTGCTTCTTACAAAACGAAGGAAGCTCTCGTAGATCAGCTAGCCGTTCAGTGTACATCGTTCATTATAAGCACTTGAAAAAGTTTTAAAGGTGTTCCTCATTTTCTTTCTGTCTTAAGTTTCTTGTTAAATCATGCTAGCCTAGTTTGCTTGTCGCCTAACTCTGCACACCACGTCAGAATTTCCTAGTCGCTTGCTCATTAACTGATTAACTAGAGCGTGCTTGATCTCAAGAAATGCCATTAGTGTTCTTCAAAACACATTCTGCTCCTGAGCGCAAGGTTGCAGATTCAGTTCCCAGTCTATGTTCTTATAGTGCCTGCGGGCTCATTTAAAGGTGTAGCTCATCTGTAAAGTTTCACAGTCTGAGGGTTTATTGCGAATAGATATTGATGTTATTGAATTAAGTCCTATTTATAGCCACATTTTGTAGCATTATTTATTTATATTCAGAATGTGCATTCACAATATGTCCATTGAAATTTCGGGGCATTTGCACCCATATCTGACTAAGTAGTAAATGAGAATAAGAAGGGGGGAAGGGATAGGAGTTGGGGGAAGATGGCAACAAGCAGGCAGTGTGCTGTAGCCAACGTTTCGACAGGCGGAACTTGTCTTCTTCAGGGCTTCAACTTAAAGAAGACAAGTTCCAGCTTTGAAGAATATAATCTACATGTAGAAAGCATCATCCTGCTCACTCCCTGCTTAAGAATTTTTCATTAAAGTAGTAAATGGCAGTATTAAATAAAGTAGTTTCACATAATATATGGTGTAATGGAAGTAGCACACATTGTTTGGATAATTAAGTTAATTATTAACACTAGTGTCACTGCAGGATATTTAAACCCATGCTTCTGAAGCTTGGACAAGTAATGTTTAGGTTCAGCATAATGAAGCCTTGAAAGTTTAAGGAACGAAAAATAAAAGGGATGCCTCAACTTGATGGTTCATTATTGTCCAGCCTCGTCAAGATGCTAGCTTAAACTAAATATTTGTCCCTGAAGCATTGCTATGCACTTGAAAAAAGAAAACAAATATTTACTGACATGCACCCTATTTTACTTCGAGTAATGCCTTTGATGCAATAATGGTAATTTTCAGTCACTCAAATTTCTGTTTCCTCTTTACTTTGGACTCTTACCTAAACGTTTTCTTGGTATATTATTTTCTTACACATTGATTGCCTTTCATTGTTTTAGCCCTGAGTACATATTTTTTCACTTTTATTCCAGTTGCATGATTTGCTGAGCCCTCTGGTAGCCAAGCCTCACCGTCCAACTATTTTAAAAGGCCACTGTGTTCTGAGTGAAGAGAATTGTAAGTCACCAACTTGAATGCCTATGTTTCCTGCACGAATACACTAATATAGTTATTATCAGGGTGCTGCTGTCAGGCTCTTTATGCCTGCCCTCATCTCACAAAAGTGACAGGTACGTGTTGTAAGTAAGCAGGTCTAAACGAAAAGCTGGGGTGGAAATCATCACTCAAAAGTGAAGCCAGACTTCCATTATCTTAGGTGGGCATGATAAAAAATTAGCTTACAGCAAAGAAACAGCAGCAATTCCCTCATACGAGCTACTGAGTTTAAGACAGCTTATTGTTCCACACAGATACTGCTCACTCTGTGCTACTAGTTTTCTTTAGATGCTGCTAAGTCTTGGTAAACTTGATTCGAGATCATGTTACCAGTACTCATACGAATGCATTGCCTTCATTAAGAACAGCGATTTCTCATTTTATAATTAACCTAGAATTTACCTTACCAGAAAGCACCTTATTTCTGGTCAACATCACATGAAGTGGCTATGTTTTTGAGGTTAAGTGTGGCAGTCAGTTAGCCTCGCATTTGTCGTTGTGAAGTTGCAAGAGCTTCCACTGCAGCACTTTTCATAAAACTCTTTGGTTTTAGTAGGGCTTTAGACTGAATAAGCCCGCAAAGCTGATTTGCATAATTTAGGCTCTATGTTTTCGAAGTTTATTTTCCTTGAAATTCAGAGGGTGGTTTTTGGAGTTTGTTAACTTATTTTTTGACAGAAATGCTGCATTTATTGGAGCTTATATTTTGTAGATTCCCAGTTCTTTGAAATTCGGTGTTTAATTTTGCATTATCTTATATTCGATATCGTAGAGTCAATGATATATGAACACGAAAGCATTACAATACACTAGGCGTACTTTAGTGGTCTTGAAAGTTCGAACACTCGAACACAGATACACACAAGCATAAATACTTGAATACAGATTGCCTACACTTGTGCCTATTATAATCTTGAAGCTTGTTATAATAGACATAAGCATGCTTATGAGGTGCGTGCATTTGATGTCGTCTAGTGCACCCCAGTGATGCCAAAGGACAGTGTATCAGGATGTCTTCTCGAGCTTCTGGGGGTGCTATATAAGTTGGTGCCTCTTGTTCCATGCATGACAAGCCTTTTGTTAAACGTGCAGTGGGTACAGTCTACAAGATACTGCTGGCGTGATGAAGTTTAGACATGCCAAAACGGCGAATGTATCAGTGACCACTCAGAATATGCCATTTCAATAATTAACTGAACAAGGTTATGTGGGCCATTAAAATCGGAGTTTATTGGATAATTTTGAATTGTCTCTACGTGAGATTGTTTATTGGTTTTTTTTTTCTTATCTGTAAAAAAAAAATTATGGACCATCTTCCTGGAGGGAACCCTAATGAGTTGTGAAAAAGCAGTGGTGCGCACAGTGTTGACACGGTTGAAACGGGTGTCAACGCGTGTGCTGGAAGAATGATTTGAAGCGAAACTCGGTGTAGTGTTTACTCGAGCAAACGTTTGTTTTAAACGCAAAGGCACGGGAGGCGTGTTGGGTTTCATGTAAGTTTCATCGCAGATAAACAAGCTGAAAGTGTGTTTCTATTTGACATGCGATCGAGCATTTCAATTGGTGGAGAGGGTGAAATGAGAGAGAAGTGTGTTGCGAACGGGCGGAAGAGCCGGCAGTTGCGGGCGCTGCAGCGAAGAACCTGTGGGTGAGGGGGAGATTTACAGTAGCGGGAACCTGCGACACACAGCTGCAGCATGGCCTACTTGGCACCGCTCCAACACCCGCGGCAAGGGGAACGCGTTGCGGCACATTCCTACGGATGCACATATGTAGGAACACACATGACTTGTGCGTTACACATGTAAGTCAAAAGAGCTCCTTCACATCTAAAATAGAGCCCTTGCTATGAGCCCTAATAGGCACATCTCATACCCCCATTAATGTCTCATAAGCTCTGCGGCATGATTGGATGTTGAGGTCTACATGAGGTTAGGAAAATGTTGTCTTTCTTTGTAATTATATTTGTATTAACAAAGTCCGCCAAAAAGTGTCATGTAGAAGATAAAATGCTTTGTAAATTCTGATAAATAATCTCATTTATTGCATCACTCAAATAAATTCATTGGAAAAGATATGAAGATCAACCTGAGCGACTATGACAGTTATGTAAATTGGCATCTACAGATTGCTACCTGACAACACTGTGAATGGGACTTAGAACTTCTGCTGAGCCTCTGTAAATACCAGAATGTGTGTAGTGCATCATGGACAGCTTACAGTTCTCCTATAGTATATGTAGTGTGCTGTATATATTGTACTCTTAATCGTTAAAGCACTTTTTCTAAGCACACACACATTGATTTATAGCATTGTTATAGCATCTCTATTTTTTCTGAACACACAGCTGTACTTTCCTGTGCACTTGACACCTTAATTCGAGGGACAACCACATACAGCTTTCCTATAGTAAAGTACGAAGTAAATAAATAAATACCATTTTTCTAAACACATGGCTGAGGTCAGAAACTAATCTGATGATACAATTTTTCTTGAGCTTTTGTCATAATATTTTTTTTACTTGTCTTTTAGTGTGTTAGTTGGTGTGTTCTGTGAATATACTTTGGAAAACTAATTTTTTTTATGCATTTGATTACTGCTAGGCTCAGTAATACTATTGTGTGAGACAGGCACTGATGCAAAGAAGGCAAAAATGTCGCTGTGTCGGCATACAGAATGCTTACATGCCACTAACTGTTTCTCCCGACTGTGTAGAATATTGTGCCAAATGTAGCTGTCACTTCTGTGAACCTTGTGTGCCTATTTCTGCTCTTGCATTAAATGTTTAAAATTTTTTTTTCTAGGGCACTTTGCAGGACCCACATTATTCCTTGACTCTGCTGCTGCCTTTGCGGTAAGCATTTTACATTGCTTGGACGCCCTACTTCACGCAGGAACAGCTAATTAATTATGTTTATTTTACTGTAAGGTGCTGCAGCTGCAGCGAACCATGTCGACCTTTTCTAAACAAGGGTCACGACTTTGCATTGAAAGGAGATAAAAGTTTAAATACATTTTGTCAGGTTAACTTACAAATGTTTTATGAATCTTGCACATGGCCAATTTTATTATCTTAGAACCAGTTTGTGTCGCCAAATTATTTTCGGTTGCCAAGGCATTGTTACACTCACAGTCTATTAATTGGTGTGAAACATCACTGGCATTTTGTACAACCAGTTAACATTAAAGCAGTGTAAACTGAATTGTCAAGATATTGTTAATGTCATTCTGTTTACTGTTTCATGTTGTAAACAATATAAGCGGACTATATCTCCAGCTTTTGTCATGTCATTTCCAACATAGATAGCAACATTCTGACGAAGGCAGCAGTCAGCATTAATATGCTCATACTTTATGTTCATGTACTCATTAAGGAACTCTGAAGAGCTCACATTTAATGTAGGGTCTTCAATATACTATAGCTTTCAGGATGTAAAATAAAATTAATCATATATTACTGCAATATGTATGTGCAGATGAGCTTTGCATATCGTTGGACTGCTATTCTAGTCCAACATACTGGCAATAATTAGGGTATAATACTACTGGGCTATAATTAAAAGTAAATAATTAGATGTAATGTGGCAACTCTTGCAGTACAAGAACTGCCAGTGGATATTGTTCCTTTGTTATTTCATAATGCTATTATGAGACTGAAGCTTGACAGTTGCTATTAAGCTGCTTGCTCACTAACCTAAATCAATTAATCACATGGAAACTGTATCGGGATTGTACTGTGTATTGTTGCAATGTGATCGTCATTATGTCATATGATACCTATTACAATCTCGTTTTATTATTCGTGTTTCTAGGAGTCATCGGTGCAAGTAATCACCGACATGAAGATTAATGTTCGTCCTTGTTGGGAAGGTAAGAGGATAATAGGTTTATGCTTCGCAGAATTTCGACAACTATTCTTGAGTATGTTTTCCAAAGGCAATAAATTCTGGTAACTGGCTTTCAGATGGGGGTGTGTGGACCCCAGAGCATGGAGGTAAGTATTTAGGCTTGCAAGGTGCTTTCTTTTTACCTGTTTATCACGTTACATTCGTTTTTATATAAATTTATTTTCTTCTTTTCAGCACGAGTGGGCATTGACGGTAAGAATGAAAAAAAAATTGTTTTTTCTGTGGATGTGTATTTTGTCATGTTAATTGCCTTTATATACTTGGCTTGGTTTATCACATGTAAGAGCCCCAGTGTTTTTCCAGCACTTCAACTATACAGAACATCCAGGCCTTTTGTGTCAGTAGAAAAACTTGTTTACATGGTTCGTTTGTCAATATTGAAAACACAGAGGATTTGTGTAAACAGGGCTCATTGTCTATGGAAATTGAAAGCTGAAAGAGGACTGTGAAGCTTGTGTTAGAGACCCTCTACCGATGGCATATAATATTAATTCATAGGTCACAGCACACAAATTTGAGCCAGAGCCTCTCCTCTACTCTTTCTGTCTGGCTGGAGCTGTTGCTGACCTGCTTTGCCACAGTGTGAGGATGACAATAATGACATGACAGCTGTTGTGGCAACTCTTTAATGCTGATTGCAAGGAGCATCACAGAAGACATTAACATAATACACAAAATCTCTATTCAAAGAACATTTTTTAATGGCATCGTACAACCTGTTGCAAAAAAGATATACTTTGGCGTGGCATTGTGTGTTTTTGCTCCTAGGTAGCCCTGCATCCCAAATAGTCAAAAGATGTTTTGTTGAGTGAAGCTGCCTGAATTTAATTGCTTACAGCCAAAGTCACTATGTTGATGTTGCTAAAAAACCTTCAGATGGAGGTGACGGTGAGATTGCAGACCTAGCTCCTGCAACCTCAATTCCAAAGTCAGCGGTGGACGTACGTAGTCACTTTCCAGAAACATGGCTGTGGGAGCTCCATCACATTGAAAGGCAAGTTTTGAGTTCCGGCTGTCATAGGAAACAATCATGGGTATCATTTAAGAACACCGGCCTTTTCCTTAATCACGGAAACTTCACAATAGTGCATTACAGTGTCTGAGCAGGATGATGTACACGGATGCCACAGCTGTCTTGATGTTCACATGGTTACATTGGTAGCTTCTGGCAAAAGGGAGCAACATTTTTTCTGATTTTGATAATAAGCTTTTCTTTATATATGCCATTTGTAATCCAAGAGCTTTTGGACTTATTTGGTATAAGTTGATGTACTTATACATGCAGCCCTAGTTTCTAATTCTGCATTTTTATGAAAGACACAGCCCTAACTCCCAGCAGCAAATTTATTTGTGGTTTTCACACCCGCACTACGGCATGTTCTTGTAATTCTTTGCAGTTTTATTTGCATTTACTTCAGAGAAGTACATGTGCTCTATAAACTTTTGGGTTGTATGAGCATAGTTACAAAGAGTAGAGTTAGGCCTGTTGTTGGACAGTAACATTTAGTGTTGTTATATCGGCCTTCTATGTCTTTGTTGTCGTGCGTGCACTAAAACAAAATGAGAGGGCATGGGCCCGACATCCATTCATTCTAGTTATAATGACTTCTTTTGGTTTGACTGTATCAATCAATCATTATGCAGAGCTGCACCACTCAACCTAAGTCGAGAGATTCCCCACTCGGTGACCAAATGGAAAGCAGGTGCCCTCTGCCTGCACCCAAGTCGCGGTCTGGGAATGGCTGCGGACACCGTTAGCGCAGTGCAGCCCTTCTTCATCCAGCTGTCACTTCCTGCTGTTGCCATTCGTGGAGAGACAATTCCCATCACTGCTTCACTGTTCAACTACCTCAGATCATGCATCCCCGTAAGTGTCAAGCAGTGCTCCTTGTTATTCCGAGGATATGTTCTGTATTTGCAGCATGGAACAATGTGCGTGTGCGCTGTGCAGAGAGACAGTTTTGTCAAACCACAATATGAGCCTTGTTGGTGCGGCTTCCTGAGAGAAAAATAACATGATAAAATTACATGATACAATGACGTGAAAGAGTGGACAAGGCTTATCAAGGTTCTGTTAATGTGTTGTCATCAGAAAGCAATAGCACACATGACATAGGGACTGAAAATGACAGAAACAAGCAAACCTTCTGTGCTGGTAAAATAAAGGCTAAGAAATGAACTGACTCGGTTAAATATGACAAACAGCTATGTATGACAAGATGTGTGTGCAAATGTTCACCATTTAATTACAAAGAACAATAATTGCCTGCTAATGTGTTACCCTTTTTTTTCTTTCTCAGAGCTCAGAGGCTTATGGATTAGCAACGACTGTGTCAAAATCAAATCTCTAGATGCTAACATTTTAATCAAGCAGAATATAAGGCACATTCAACCAAGTGAGCTACTACTAGAAATGCTACTTCTATTCAAAAATTTATTTCCGACATTATCAGTTCTGTTACCCTGAATATTGTACATATTAGGGAATAGTATTGCTGTGTTGTTAATGCAATAGTACTTGGCTATAACATTTATACTACCTTACACTGTATTCTCCAGTCACGTATGGTATTCATGCAGTAAGCCTTTGCTTTACATTGATTTTTTTTTTTCTGATGAAATGTCACAGCTTATATTCATGCTAGCATTATGTCAACTACTTGTGCAAAAATTGCCATTGATGGGTACAGACAGTTTTTTCACTTGTATCACCTGCAACATGCTCTGCTTAAAACACTCATTTTCTTACAGGTCAAGTTTGGTTTGATTGTGGATGCCAGCTGCTTGAAAATGATTGGCAGCCCACAGAAGCGCTTTTGCTTGTGCAGCGAAGACACAGTTTCGTTAAGACTTTATGCACGGTCCGACTGTTTGGGTCAGCTCAACATCACTGCTCACGCTTTGGGCCTCTCCAAGAACGACTCCATATGTGAGCCTGGAAGCGTGACAGAAACTAGAACAGCTCGAGATGCACTGCGTAAGAGCCTTCATGTAATGGTAAGAAGTGCAATATATCTTTTTTTATAGGTGAAGCATCTTGGGGTCGAGCCTTGTCCCTGCTATGCGCATTGTCCTGGCTTGCCCACGCTGGGAGCGCCTTTTGCTGTGGTGCCCCGAGAGCTATAAAACACGCTCGCTCCCGGCTCTCTCTCTCATGGTCATGGAGAGGACTTCGTTATGAAAGAAAGAAAAAATGTACAGGGGTTAATGATTACCCCAAGCTTCGCCCACTCGCCATCATTCACTTCATCGATAATGCTGTGATCTTTTTTTCTCTTTTGAGTAGCATACATTTTTGAACTGCATAGCAGTTTAGGGGCCCAGCTTGTCGTTCGTTCGTCTCGAGACGTGATCACACTCAAAATCAAATGGTCAACACAGGCCTAAAACAAGATTAGCAACGCTCAAAACTTGTTGAAGGTAATCGAACAAGATCTAAATTAATAAATGTATTAAAAATAAGCAAAAAGTAATTGCAGCGATCAATTTGAAATTACTAGGGTCGCTTCGAAAGCGTGTGGCTTAAACTCGCACTGCACAAGAGGGGCCGCCACCGTCTTGCCAAGTGCACAATTGCGCCTTGCACCAGTACTTCACTACAGATGATCTATTCTGATATGCTTTACATCTTTACTCTCTGCAATATCTGATGCATGGCCCTTTATGCAGCACTGGCTTCACAATGGCTCTGTGCTGCTAAAAGCTTTGCGAATTTTCCAGTACCTCTGGCATAAAAAACATCTCATTATACTCAGCATATTCCTTTGTTATACTTGAAATCATGTGCTCACTTTAACAAAGCATCTAAACCTGCCCTAAGACTTTGGCAATGCTTCACTACATATTTAGTCCAATTTTTTCATTATGCCCAAAGTACCTTTAAACATTTCACTGTACTATGTCTGAGCATAGTACATCTGAGTTTACATTTGGCTTTATTCTGTAAATTCTCTACTTCCCTCCTTTGCTCTGCCCATGCAATCACAGGAAAGTTATTTCAATTTTTCTTTTCATGTACTCTTCTTTAAATAACATTTCAATTTCAATCTATGATTGGGCGACCCAGCATGCCTGTGAGGCGGCATCGAGGCAAGCCCTTGGTGTCCCCTCATGAGAGGCCTAGGCCTGGCCACCTAAACCTGCTGGTTTCTGATAATAAAGTTCATTCCTCCTCCTCCTCCTCAATCTATGATCACCAGCTATGGGTGACTGATCTTCACTTTTTTTGCGATAGCTGGCCATATGTAATGCATGAATATGCACTAAAAACTTATAACAAAATTTCTTTCAGCTCCTACAAGCAGTATAGAAAATCATAGGTTTATCCTGAAGATCCCTGGCAATGCCATTCATGGTTCCTCAAAGGGTGTGTTCACAGTGTCAGGTAAGAACTGTCCTATTGAGATACATTAAATAGGCCTCTGAGTTTACTAAACTTCATAATTTTGTCAAAGAATTGCTCATTCTTGTATTCACACACACACACACACAAACTTGTTTTCACAGCAGCGTGTGCAAGCAGACATAAAGTGTTCCTCAAGCTTACATAGAAATCATTGCACATTCTTCTCAAGAATTATGCAATTCTCTTTTTTTCTTTTTCGCACTTGCAGGTGACATTCTAAGCCCCGTTCTGGCATCCGGTCTAGAGTCCATCGTCAAACTGCCCACTGCCTGTGGAGAGCAGAACCTTGCCATCTTAGCCACGAATGTTGTGGTGCTTGATTACCTGATCTCCTCGGGGCATTTCAGCCATCCGTTAGAGGCCAAACTTCGGAGAAACATTCTCACAGGTTGGGCTATAGCAACCATAATCTCATGCTTTTCATAGGTATTACTGTATATGTGTTCAGGTACAGTGGTGTTGCCATTAAGGTTTGATACACAGCTTTTTCAAACCCAAACACCATCGTACAGAAATTAGTGAATACTGGCTTCTTTTGTGAACAGAGTCAGCATGAGTTGCACAAATGGTATACTATACTTAGAAGTAAACAAAAGTTTGTGTGTGAATTCCTTAATTAATGTGGGAATAACGGTCAATTGAGTATATTTTCACAGGCGAAGAAACAAATGAAGATGTAAGTTACAGATCAATCAGGATCATCAGTAGCCTTACTTTGAAACTTGATGTCATCTTCTACAACACCATAACAATCATCGCCATCATCATTTTGTGCATAGTGGCACATCAATATCGTAATAAGCACTTCAACGTGCTGTCGTTTTACTTCCCCTATCCCATTCTCCAGCACAGGGTAGCCAGCTGGTTTGAGAACTGGCGCACTTCCGCGTCCTTCCACATATTTATTTCCTCCTAATGTGGTGTACCACAAAGTTCATTCTGAGCATAACAAGGACTAACAATGCAAGGGCTAAGCTAATCTCTTGCTTGCATGTGAAGCAAGAATGGTGTGTCTTATCTCTATGTTGCGAAGTCGTGTTAAAGTGACGTAGACATTGGTGGCACATGTTTGCATGCATCGTATCCAGTACCATTGCTGTAATGTGTTTTTGTGTTTTCTCTTCTTTTTTTCCTTGCAGGCTATGAACAGCAACTGAACTACAGGCATCCACACAATGGCTACAGTGCTTTTGGCGGTGCCGATCCCGAGCCGAGCTTGTGGCTGACAGCATTCGTTGTGACGCACCTATGGAAAAGCCCGCCAGTACGTTTCCCTCGATGATACTGAGCTGAGTTTGAATACGCAATGGTTGCTTGGTCACCAGTATGACACTGGCTGCTTCCCATCTGTTGGTCGTGTCTTGAATTCTCAACTCAAGGTTCGTATTGTACAAAGTTATGATGACTGTATTCAATATATATTTTTTCTTCTTATGCATTCTCACACAACCTACAAAGATTTTACACAGTGATCAACTTGTTTGGTTATAAGTGCTGAAAAGATAGCACATGTATGCTTAGCCATTGGCTGCGGCGTATTGCACTCATGTAATGAACATCACTGAAGAACATTAAAATGGGCTTTATTGCAGCTTTTGATTTGATCAATATTAAATGTCTTCTCTATAACAGCCACAGTAAATCCAGAGTTGTTTAATTTCATTCATACATTTTAAAGATGAAGAATTCTTATTCAGCTTCTGGAAAAGGAAAACAGTTATCCTAAATCAGTCTTATGAATCCTACCCTAAAGCTCTAATGTTAGGACATGTCACACACTGCACAGTTGCTAGTAACTCCCAAAAATTGCACAATTTTTCAACTCTCTGTTGCAGGGTGGTATTCAGGGGACGTCGCTTTCACCACTGACAGCCTATGTGCTGATTTCATTGCTCGAAGCCAATGCAACTATACTGCCACAGGCACAAGACAAGGCTGTCCAGTGTCTTGTCGAAGAAAGCGCCCAAGAACAAGACAGCTACTCACTGGCACTTCATGCATATGCCCTGACCCTTTTACGCCATCGCAATGCGCAGCAAACTTTTCACTTGCTGTGGAGTCGTGGTGAACTGGAAGCAGGTGAATATGCACAAAACTTATGGCACTCAAGATCCACACTTTTGTTTGAAAACATGCTGACCAATATTTTTACCACCAAGATATACAGCTAAATTGAAAGATTGGGTGCCGAAATTAACAGAGACCACCTTCATTTCAGGGAGACTACCTTCATTTCAGGCAAATAATGAATGTAATGCTGTTTTTCACAAACTGCCGTGTCTAGTGATTGCACTGTGTGTTAGAGGATGTGTGTTAGAGGAGGGAACATTTGGTGATGTTTTATGCACTGAAAACAGGCATGCCAACAGTGTCGGCTGCTGCTCGCGTTTCTTGACCTGCTCAGCCCCCACGATGGTTCCCAGGACCACTGCGAACGGCACCAGCAGCAAACAGTTCTCCCAGCTGGGGTAAAGCCCATAGATCATTGGGCATGCCTTGGTGCCTTTTCAAAAGGAGGAGAGTCAGATGTAAAAGACAGGAGGAGAGAGGGAAGAGGAGGACAGCGACACGTGCACCATACATGCGCTTTGGGCTCACACAGTGACATCACAGCTCACATTGGCTTGCAGCTGCCGCACTTTGCAAATCAGCCAAAAATGCAGCCAACTGTTCGGAAATACTTGAAATAAACAATCTTTATTAGAACAGCCATTTATTACAAGTAGCATTGTGAATGTTTTCATTAATTTTTCTAATTTTCATTCAGTGTCTCTTTGAGAATCCTGTAAGCATTGTCTACTGGCACTTAAGGTAGATTTGATGTTCTTAATATGCACTAAGGTTCTGATAAACGAAAGAACTCAAAATTCTAAATTAAAAAAACTTTTTTTTTTGGCACTAATGCATCATTCTTCACACTGTCACTTCTTTTAATATGCAATGTTTAATTAGCATCAGAACTCATGTAATAAGGTTCTATTTTGTGAAGTTGTTGAACTCATGCAAATGAAGAAATTCAACAAGGTTCATGAAAAACGTAGCTGCAATTTAAATAGGATTTAGAAATACAAGCACAGCAACATAAAAAACAGATGAATGTATATAGCACGGCACCTTTTGTAGTTTTCTATGACAGTGTTCACAATTAGGGATAGATATGTTTGCATGTTCATGCATTTGACACTAAACTGGTAGAAGTTTTTTGAACAACTTTCAGGATGCAACTAAAGTACAGCATAAATGACTATCTCTGAAGCAATCACTATCTCTGACATATAAGCTCTTGCAGTCATGGGTATAATTTCAATTTCAATGCACTTGAAGCAATATTTAGAACCAAAAGATGAGACCCGTCTGTCTTATATGTATTGTTTCAAACCACTGATGACTGTATACTAGCATTCCTGGTGATTAAAAGCCTAAATCTTGCAACACCATTGCACCTGTGCACGTATCTGCACTCGGAGTTTCTCTGAACCTTTGCTCGTGTTGACAACGAATGCTTCAAACATTATCCTATGTGAAGATTAGAACTTATAACAGCTAATGGCACACCTTTTTCCATCTATACAAAAATTATGAATATGATTTGTTGTTGGGACAAGTTCGTTAACATCAAAGGGTTGCATAATAGTACAAACTTAGAAAATAAAAACACGAAAAAAGAAGTTGGAGGGAGCAGAAAGGTCTGTCTCATATTTTTTTTCTAAGTTTACGCTATTATGTATCCCATAGAAAAATTATTGTTTGCTTTCAGGAGAGGCTCAAGTTGCCAATATATAAATAAAGAAAAGAAGGAACTAATGGAGTTGGACAGGTCATGTAATACTTACGATGCGTAACTAGTCACTTTCTGGAGCAATGGAATGAATTACAAGAAAGGGGACCAGATGCAAAGGCACCAAAGTAGTATATATAGTGACGAAGTTAAGAAGTGTGCAGGCATAAGATGAATTCGGCAGCTGTAAAACATGGGTGCTACTAGAGATAGCTGGAAAAGACCTTCCGGTCTACAGAGAACGCATTGATGACAATAATGCTATTATGTTTCTGCTTCTTGCCCATTCTGCAGCTCTGGCTCTTGACTTATGTCCGCTGTCTTGTCTCTCTGGTTTTTCAAAGATGGCACGTTGCACTGGAGTCGCAACGTATCTTTAGCAGTGGCTGTAGAGACAAGTGGCTATGCCATCCTTGCCTGCTTGACGCTGCACAAGGAAACAGGTGTCTCTTTAGCCCTACCTGCAGTGCAGTGGCTACTCAAGCAGAGGAACCACAGAGGAGGATTTATATCCACGCAGGTAAATTTTATTAATTTGTGAGCACCTTTGCAGTGTAATTTGTATTTCCTAACTTGGAATTATTTGCCCTGAAACAGACAAATTTCACATTGACATGCATTAATGGTTATGCGGCATACAAAACTTCGCAGTAAAAATAATACTTGGCTGAAACGTGCTGTCACTTTTGCCTCCAACAAGGCTTTCTTTGTTCTTGCCCCACAGGATACTGTTATAGCAATGCAAGCTTTGGCTAAATATGCAAAGATGGTCGTACTACCAGATACACGTCTGACACTGACAGTGTCATCTCAACACATGGAGCCCAGGGACCTTCATGTGGAGCCAGCAAATGCAATGCTGCTTCAGGAAATGCCCGTTCCCGTACTGCCTGCAACTCTTGAACTAAATGTCACTGGAAAGGGCTGTGCATTTGTGCAGGTCAGTGGAGCTTGTGTTTCTACAGGTATCTTGTCCTGGCTCTGTCAGTGCATACACAGATAGCTGTCAACATGAGTGAAATGAGTACTTATCATTTCTATTGCTCTGAAAGCTGGTAAAAGATATATCAGGACCACAGTGATTAGAGCACAACACAGCCACTGGGCATAACATTAAAGCTTCTTTCGAAGTACTGTTACACCAGAGCTCCCCCCCCTTCCGTCAAAGACCTGTGAACGGTCAAAAACTTACCTTTCTGGAGTTGTGCACACCTACAGCCCACCTGCACAGTGTTGGGCAAGGTCCTACCCCTCTGGGTCAAACTCCTGCGACCAGTCAAGAACCTGTATGAGCGCGTCACCTCACCCTCCTGCACTGGGTTGGGCACGTCACCAACCCACCAGCACTGATTTCCACACGGCACCTCCCCGGCACACCTTATTTAAGACAGTGCATGTCCATTGTTATAGAGAACTCGCCCCAGACTGGCTCTGTTGCTACACCCGCTATACTTCCGATAAATATTGCTACTTGTTTCGTTTGCAAAACCTTTGATTGATATGTGGGGTTTAACCTCCCAAAACCACTATATGATTATGAGAGACGCCGTAGTGGAGGGCTCCGGAAATTTAGACCACCTGGGGTTCTTTAACGTGCACCCAAATCTGAGCACACGGGCCTACAACATTTCCACCTCCATCGGAAATGCAGCCGCCGCAGCCGGGATTCGAACCCGCGCCCTGCGGGTCAGCAGCCGAGTACCTTAGCCACTAGACCACCGTGGCGGGGCAGCAAAACATTTGCCTCTTGCTCTGCTCCAAAACAAGAATTCCGGCTTCAACCAACGACGTCCACATTGCTGTTGCAGTAGAATACTGCGGAACTCCCATTCGTAACAGTTTTTGCAATTGGCATAAAAAACAGAACTGACCAATCCCATCTCTTCAGAATACCACGACTAAAATGCTATGTAGAAGCTGCAGCATGGCAGTGCTGCCTTAATTACTTTTGCGTTTTTGCCTTTTGGGTAGCAGTTGCATTTATATGCCACTAGTAATGTGCAATTAGTCTACAGTACGACAGGTTTTACTCTGTTGAATATTATGCCGTAATGAAAGCAGTTGAATATTATGCCGTAATGAAATGCAAATGCAGTTGAAAATTGGCATAATTTTAAAGAACAGTCTTTTTATGAATAAAACAGAAATGTGGTAAAATGTATTCGTAATAAAAGGTCAGGAAACATTTTTTTATCTTACAGATTATCATGATGTTACTCATTTTAAAACTTATTAATTGGAAAAATGAATGGGCACTGTGTGTTTACACGGTGGGCAATAATAATTCTTTCACTTCACTTCTATTTCTCTGCAAAGTATATAAATTTGAGGAGAAGCAGTGCTGTTGGGGCATTTGATTTGACTTAGCTTGCAAAATATGAAAAAGGGCACGCTCAGAATTCACTTGTATGTTAATGGTGTATTTAGTATATGTACTCCTCACAATCTATGTAGCTACAGCTGTTAGTGTATGTCCGGTGGATCTGTCTTTTTCTCTTCTGAGTGTCCTCTGGTGTCATTTGTAAGCATAATACAGCCTGAAAGAGTGTAGGAACTAAGTGCCATTTTTTTTTTTTCTGAAGATTAAGCACCGCTCTATGGTGAGTTTTCAGTACATTCTGTAGTCATGACTATTTGGCTGGGTAACTCAACAACTGTATTTAAAACGCTTACAGGCCACTGCAAAGTACAACGTTCCTGCACCGAAAATACGAACAACTTTGATCTCTTGGTGGAACCATCTCACACGGCATGCAAGCCAAAGTTAAAACTGTGTGCAAGGTAGGGTAACAATATTCCAGTATCTATGGTTAACGTTAACATTCAAATGAACGGTATTGTCATAACATCTTTGTGGTCGCACAGTCCATAACTTTCCTACGTAAACATCTGGCAAAAGTTCAAACTGCATCTTTCTGTACAACAAAGACATCTTGTTCAAACAGTCTTCAAGGAAAGATTGTCTGCTTCATTTGCAGTTATCTATTGTCTGCTTCATTTGCAGTTATCTCCTATCCTGGGGCATGTCTGGAATGGTGATAATACAAGTCCACCTGCAGACTGGATTTCGGTTTAGCAAGGTACTTTCTTTAACTCAAGATGTTACTGTTGTTTGCACTGTTGCAGAACTTTTACTGCTACCTGTTGTTTCATTATTGATACAAATCATTAAGTTTGACATTGTTTATATTACCAAATCACATACAGGTGATAGATGACCTGGAAGTAAAGAAGATTGAGGAAGAAATGAACAAAGTGAACCTCTACTTTGACGAGGTGGGTTAACAATGTTCCTTCTATCAACTTGCTGCCTTTTCTTTGTGTTAACATGTTCTTGATGTCACATTATTGAACACATTCTAGTATTTACCGATTCAAGCCAGCAGAATAGGCAAACTATACAATGCTGAGTTACTTCATTTCGATTGTTCTATAATTCAGAAGGGAATTGCTGTTGTATGATGCAGTTACTTCACTCTCAGAATTGCTATTGTATACTTATCTGGCAAACTGCCAGTTGTACCTGACCCTTATGTTCTGGAACTTGATTGAAAAACGGAGCATTCTTGAGCTTTGCCTTCAAGAGTAGAACGCGATAGCATAATTGGGTCTTGTGTGCATGTCCTTCTCAATTGGTTGCCTCTCTTCATTTATCACTTCATACTGCAGCCATGTCATAAGGAAATGAATGACTGCATGTAGATAGACATATAGATAAGCTGTATTGAAGTAAAAGCGATTTTTTCAAGTGGGGAGTCCTAGTCAAAGGCCTCACTGGCCTTAGGCCTTAGTCGCCCATTAAACTTGGGTGATCAGCACTTCTTGGTTGATCAGCTGAGTCAGAGCTGGACGATCACACCTCTTACTACTCCAACAAATTTCTGTGTGTGTCAGGTGAGGGGGATGTTTTGAGCAGTCCCAGCTTATGTGATAGAGTGTAGGACTTCTTCTGCACCAAGGGCAGGAATTTCGATAGCACGTCGGGAACATGGTGTGTAATCTTTTGAAGTGGAGATATATCCCAGTTTGAGTTCTTATCCAGTTGATAGCCTCCTCTCCCCCAATGGGCTCGTGAGAGGGGTGTATATCTGTTAGGTAAGACGCTGATGGGTAAGCAGGTCCTTTGTGATTGTCGGGCTGTAAGCTTTGTGAGGCGTTGATTCCTTGAATTGATACCTTGAAAGTGTGTAACATTGGCCGTTTCAATGTATCCCTGAATGCATACTGCAAGTCAAATTATTAAGTGCCCAACTACGCCATAAGCATTATTCTTGCAAATCAGCATAGGGCCTACATGCAAACCTAAGCAACATGCAAACCTCTACGCAACTAATCACTTGTTTGATACTCCTGCCACTGCCACTGACACTGACCAAACATCTCTAAGTGCTTTGTAATGGGTGGGCCTTTAAAATACCCACTTATTGCACAATTCACATGTTTTGACGTGTGGCACGATTTTACGCTTCTGGCACACTACATTACTTGCATTAAGGAGATTCCTTCCACTACATGACATTCATACAATGTTTTTTCCAGTGCGATCTCAAGAAATTTCATGGTTCTGTGGTAGAACACCTGCTTGCCATGCAGATGGCCTGGGTTCGGTTCTCACTCGGACCCAAAAATTTTATTATTTATTTTATCTGCATCTGTCTCAACTTCATCATAGACAAAATGATGATTTTTCTCTCACAATCAACGATGCCGTCACTGACACCGACAGCAGAATTTTCGTGAAACAAGCTTTTTAACACTATCACATTAAAACATGATGCAGCATGTGCTTACAGTGCATTATATGTGTCATAATTTGTTAATAGTAATTCTATTCTATGCCTTTTTGCTTCATACCACCCACTGTATAGAATTAATGGCTGTGATTTCGCACTGCTAAATACAAGGTTGCAGAATCAGATGTGAAGTGCTACCAAATAACCTCAGGTAGTCAAAATTAGTCCGGTCCCCCCGCTACAATGTGCAACATAATGATATCGAAATTTCGACTCACAGAACCCAGAACGAAGTTTTACATTTTTCTGAAGCTTTATCCCATGAAAGAGGTATCGTTGTATACTATCATTATATTTTTTAACTGCTCTTACTAACCTGAGGGAAAAAAAAGATATTCTTAAAAAGACCTCTTTGCTTGTAGTTATAGTCGGCAAGCCACAATTTTACTAAATATTACTGCTCAATTTCTACATGAGGTCAAAGGACACGGGCTAATATGCATATGGTGCCTTGTACGCACTGGCACCAGTATCCTGATGATGCGGATATCACAAGCCCCACTTGTGTAACTGTACAGGTGGCTGTGAAAATTATTGAACTGCTTATGATACACAAAGCTGTGCCTAATTTATATCTGAATTATAGATGATGCCACCATAGTGAAGGAGTTCTTGGTGTGCATGCGTTGTGAGCGAAGAAACCAAAGATCCACAATGGTTAAAACTGTTTATTTTGATGACTGCTTCGCTTCATCTTCCTGTGTTTGCAACAGGAATCAATGTTGGAGTCTATACGAATGGCCCACAGCATACATCCTAAGGCCCACTAATTTTTGCATAAGCTTTCCATTTTTATTTTTCCTTTAAATTCTACTTTCGCAGCTGAGCAACCGGAGGACATGTGTGGCTTTGGTGTTGACCCAAGAGTATGAAGTGAGGGATGCTCTGCCTGCGGCTGTGATTCTGCAAGACTACTATGACCCTGGTTTGTATCACTTAAAGTAGTAATATTGCATTTATCATGAAGAAATCATCTGTGGCATTTAATCTTGGTCCTGAGTGGTTTCACACTTATTGCTGTTTATACAAATAATGGTATACAACAGAGCCTTCGTAAGAAGTAAAAAAGAGGTGATACAGAGCTACTATCTTCACATGTTTTCAAATGGATATGATGCAAGTAGTTTAAATAATCCCTGTACTCAAGTTCACTTGGCTTTGTTGTAAAATGTTTAAAAGAATGCTCCTGTGAAGAACTTATCAGAGATATATTGCGTTGCTGGTAAACTTTACGGCCAGTACAGAGCAATGCTCTCTTATTTCACAAGTAAGAAAGCTTAGGAGGTACAAAAGGTAATGGAGAAGGAAGGAAAGTGTCCTGCAGTGAACACCATAGCCTTCTTGTTCAAAATGCATGTCTGAATTCTCCCAAGCCCACCAAGCCCCATGCTACTTAGCTTCGGCAATCTGGGGAGAAACAGCAAATTCAGGACGACATTCACCTTGCAGTAGCATTAGTCTATTTAATGGTAACTTCACAGATATAACTTCATTCTGCCAGAAAAGCTTTCAACTTTGCATTGATGCACTTTAAGGAACACACACCTGCACCTGCTTAGTAAGGCTAGAGTAAACGATTGCGCCTGTGCTGTTGAAGAACGCTTTTTGCCAAAAGATGACAGTGTGAGAAAAGGAATAAGGTCGACTTCTCATTTCACATTCTTGTCTTTAGAATAGAAAATTCCTTGAGTCTTTGGTTACCCAAGGACTTACTGTGTCGCTCATGCTGATTCACTGTCTGTGTTTTCTCATTTTTTTATTACTGTTTTAGATGTTTACATCACCACAATGTTGCCCCAAATATTTTGCTCCAGTGTTTTCTAACTGGAGCTACCTTACAATCACTTTTTGAATTGTTCATTACAGATATGATTGTGCTAAGGAACTACACGATTCCCACTTGTGAAAGAGATCAGCAAAACGTTGTCGACTCACAAATGCCCTTATCGGATGTGGTGCATGAGAGTGTTCCTTCAGAAGGAGCTCATTTTAGCAACTTCCGAAACATTGACCAGGAGCCCGACTTTCCAGATGGCCCAGAATCAAACTTGCCAGTGACAGTACCAGCTCCCGAGGAATAAAAGGGAAGAAGGTCAACACATGTGTGCCTGAAATTCCTGCGTCCTAAGACCTTGCAACACGTTGCTCCCCAAGTCTCGCTGGAAAAAAGGTCACCGTTGCAAGAAAAAAAGAATTCACGTCAACTCTTTCATCATGCCAGATAACTGTTTGGTTAAATTTTCTTGCCGCTGACACTAAGAATTCAGGGTGGAACAGCCACACAAACGAGTCAAGTTGTCACCTTTGCTGTTACATAAGCCTTTGTAGCCCTTGGTATTAATATCTTGTGTATTTGATCCAAACAGGGTATACTGTTACCCCACCAGTTTTATCTTTTCATGGCACTGTGCAGGAAAGTGTGCTCTCATATGTAAGGATGAGCCACCATGCAATAAATACTCTGGGATTCTGTGAAATCAGACAGGGCTGGTTAATTGTTTCACTTGACATCGTCAACGGTGAAGCTCTATAAACATGAATAGAAAAATCTTAATCCTGAAAGCAATGAAGCAACAAGATGGTAACTGAATGAAATATATTGGTTCCTGTGATTACTCAAAATATAATTTTATCTTTTCAGCACTTTCAAACTATAAAGTGCATGGAAGGCACACATATTTGTATGCAAATGCAACGAATATTTACGCTTAAAAACGAAAAAGAGAATTTATTCAACTTAACCTCTTTACTGGTATGCTGTGCCTATTTTGTCTGAATGCAGAAAGCTAGTAAATAAGAAATATAAATACCACTTCATTAAGGGGCCCTGAAGCACTTTTTCAACTAACCATGGAATGAATTCACTAAAAGAGCCTATTGCCTCACGAATTCAACGCCGCAAAAATTTTTAAAATCCGTCCAGTATCGGTGGAGTTATAAAGATTTGTCGCACGCTGCAATCGCGTTCGCTAGTGCCGGCGAAAGCGCTGGAGGCTAAGCAGAGAGAGATGGCAGGGACAAAGAAAATATGTCACGCTCGCCTCGTGGCGTCGAGTACTTTTTTTTTTTTTTTCGAATATGCGACTTTTTTTGAGTCGCGCGCATGCGCAGACAGGTCGTGGCCTTCCGCGGCGATCCCTGTCGACCGAGCGCGCTACGTTGAAATTGGCCAATGGCTGATAGATGGCCTTCTATGAGACATTTCAGCATCTTTCGTCATTTCTCGAGAGGAGAGAAAGCAATGTTTAGCTGACTTTGATAATTTGTTGTGAATTCCAGGCCGCGTGCTGCGCTATAATATTTGGCTCGCGTGTTCTTGGGAGCCTCTACTACCGACTGGCACTGTTTCATGGCCACGCTCAAAAAGTGCTGGCCCCTTTAAATGTAAGAATATAGCGACACTATGCAGTTGTTTTTTTTTCTCCAGGTGTAAACTTTACAAGCGTGTGTCGACTGTGTGTCATCAATTATAAATTTACGTGGCTTCTACGTGTTATTTCAGTTTGCGGCTCATTTTGCCACGCGTGAGCAATGAAACAATCTTTTCTGTTTAGAATTTTCAAGCACTTGTTAACCAAACTGAAATATCCAGGAAAACATCCGCTATACCATTTCGTTTGAATTGCAGCAATTCCGTCAGAACCGTGGTCAGCGCAAAACATATTGCATGGTCGTTTTCTTGTGAAATGCACCGTGCGTACGATTTCATCGGCAAACGCACGGAGTTTTGAAGCACGGTCGATCGGCTAAGCGGATATACTCGAAGAGCGCTCAGAGCTTGCAGCGCGTACGATAATCCTTTAGCTAAAAGGCCTATCCCGTCGCTATGAGCGGTGCGGGGATCATGGCACCGCCTGCGTGTAGGATGATTAAAGGTGACGGCTTGATATACGACGTGCTTGGGTAAATCGATCATAACCGCCGCGGTCAGCACGCAATATTCGTGAAGGGCGGCGGCTAGCGGCCGCTGCGCTGTGGAAGTTTCGTCGCGTTTTTTTTTTCATGACGCACTTCCGGTGACGCAATTTCCCGCCGCGACGCGTTTGTCGTTTTTCGGTTTGCAGACGATGCCCTTTTGCGAGTTGTTCGCACGTAGCTGTATAGCTCCGCTGATTGCGAGATCGCTCTACGAGACGTTGGACAATAGGCATTCTCAGTCATTGTGTGCCTGCGTGGCGCGTGCCTCTGGTGAGATCGCCCACTACGCCGACCGAGAAATGAGAAAGCTTGTCAGGGCGCCACGACATGTGAAAGCACGTACGCTCTCCGCGCCTTTATTGCGATGAAAGCGCACTTAGAGCAGATTCACACAGATCACCAAGGCCTATATTTACATGTTAGTCTTACGTAATGCTCAAACCAAATATTCTTGTCCTTTCTATTATTCCCCCTTTCGCCCACCCCAAGTGTAGGGTAGCCAACCGAGCCAAGCCTGGTTAACCTCCCTGCTTTTCTTCTCTATTTATCTCTCTCTTGTCCCGTGGCTCAAACACACTTGCACATGGAGGAAAACTAGAATGTTCGTTGATCACGTTTGTATGCGTATAAAAAGATTGAAAAAAAAGGATTGAAAAAAATAGCATTGTTTCAGCTTGAAACTGAGTAGCAAATCAAATTGTGACTCAGCGTAAGATTGATAGTTTGTAATGACATTTAATGCATAAATTATCGCCAACTGAAAGCTCTTACGATCCAGCAGTGCATAAACGAAGAAATACGTGCTACGCCTTCACTGTTGCGTAAAAAAAAAAGTAGGTAGATGAGTCACTCGCATAACGTAGGTTCTTCTTACAACTCTCTCCCCCTAAATGAAAGAAAGCGTGTGTCGTGGGTTGGGGTTGCTAAACTTTCTACTCGGCGTGTACTGTTTACAGAAAGCACGCTGCCCTTTGGTGTCCATTATGCAGTGGGCATTCTAATAAGATGGCTTGCACTATGGTCCCTAGAACATACGGGCTTCTAGGGACCATACTTGCACTGACGTCACTAAAACCGCCATGCTGCAGCAACAGCACGTACGGATAGGACGTTTTTGATGTCACATTAACGCTACCGAAACATCACATGTAGGTTCTTTCATTATTCACACACAAAGACGTTACTTCCGTGTCGTTTTCTCTTATATGCAGCTTGTTTATCATCAGTAAAACTTGCTTTGGGTCCGGTTGGTACATAGTAAATTAAGAAGAAAACTTCTTAGGCGCGAACAATACGGAAAACTGAAAAAAAAAAGGGAGGTGAGGAATCTATCTTTCCTTGCCTTCTTTTATTTTTTTATTTTTTCCGTATTGTTTGCGTCAAATAAGTTCTTTTCTCATCTTGTTTCTCATCAAATTCGCCATCGTGAAGTCCCATTTCCTTCCAGTACAGTGTACTAGAACTGTACTTCCAGTAGCTGCGCCCATGACGTCACGTGTAAGCCGTGTATAGCCGATTTCGATGGAATAAGTGCAGTTGCGAAAGAAATACGGTAAGCAGTACAAACAAAAATATATTTAAAAAAATGCGTAAATGTGCGTGACCTATGTTGCAGTCGCCTCTACATAGCTATTTACTCTTTGTTCTGTGCGGACTTCGCGGCGAGCCAGATATCGAATGCCGTTCGTCATTTCTGACGGGCGCCCCGGCAAAGAGCGCCGCGGAGACCAAAGCGGTGACGAAGTGCTGTCACGACACGCTTTTTTGGCCGCACTCCAGTGAAGCGGTCGAAGAACCGGAGCGTATCGCATCGTGTATTGCGTGTTATACACAGCGAAGCCCCTAAACGAAAGTGCTCTTCAAAACAGCAGCAAAACATTGACAAAACAGCTCGTTTTTCTTTATTATTCTTTGCTCTTTGCTTTGCTTCTGTAAGGCAGCGTATATATATATATATATATATATATATATATATATATATATATATATATATATATATATATATATATATATATATATATATATATATATATATATATATATATATATATTATGCGGGAATGATCGTTCCGATGATTGCCTGTGAAAGCCGCGCGGCTACCTTCAATTACAACCGTGCCTCGGATCACGTTTTGCAGCTCTATAGGCTCGAGATCGTGCCTCACAAGACTGCCCGCGAATTCAAAACTCGACCGACAGGCTGTTTCTTTTGCACGTTCGCTTGGCTACTTCGCCTTCTCTTTATCGTCACATATAATACGCACACACCCCGCTAAGAAGTTCTCGCGTGATTGGGGAAATAAAAAAGGTTGCGAAAGCCGAGTGATTTAAAGGCCGCGACGAGGCCATGGTGCAGATTTTCGCGGCCGAGCGACTCCGCAGCTTTTTACATCCGTGAGAGTTACCTTGGACACTCCGTTTATTTTTCTTCCTTTGTTTTTCTTTTTTTTTTACTCGTCTATGCTTTTGGAACTCTATTTCTTCCTCATCCATGCGACTTCGGTTAAAGGGTGATCGTATGTACTTAAACTAAAGAACAACCACATTAATTACTACCGCAACCACAGCGAGTGCGCGAGCAGCAGATATTTAGTCGCATTCGGAAGCTCTCATTAGAGTGTTGGCAGGGCTTCAAAAGTAAAGGTTGTTCACAAACGAAGCCGCATGTGACCGGGCCTTGCGGTTCATCTAAAGAGCACCGGCTCTATGGAAGGAAGGAAAGAAAGAAAGAAAGAAAAAAGAAAGGAAAGAAAGAAAGAAAGAAAGAAAGAAAGAAAGAAAGAAAGAAAGAAAGAAAGAAAGAAAGAAAGAAAGAAAGGGAAGACTGCGTAGGTTGATAGAACGTCGGCGTACAGCAGAAACAACAAGCCAGTGGGCGCTTCGTATCCTCGAGGTATACGGTAGTAGTATGTACGCTGGGAGGGCGTCGTTCCGGAACGACCCTTGCTTTATCGCCTTCCACCTGCATACGTGATGCGGGAGCTGGGAAATAGCGGTGGAGCCGCGCTCTCTTTGTTTTAATTCGGACTGCGACCGTAATCGTGCTCTGAAAAAGAGTGCACCCGATTGCAATCTCCGGCCGCAGGGCTCCCACCTCTCTTCACCTGCACTGCGCATCGTGCTATGGCACCAGACGACCAGTGTTGCAGTTATATATGCAATTGTTGCGCGCGTGTTGTAAATTGCAGTTACCGAACAATGCAACCGAAAAAAAAAAGATATCCGTGTCGATTTATCGATAAACGCTAGGAAAATGCGTTGGTGTTACCCTCGGTTACCCTAAATTACCTTGATAGTGTTGCGAAAG